ATCCACGTCTGTTCATGAATGATGTGGTGGTTACCTGCGGCGACATACCCGAAGGAGACAAGGATGCAATAATAGGTGGTGTGGTAGCGAAAGGTGGATTGTACTCTCCAAGAGTTTCTCAGATGGTTACACACTTAGTGGACCTCACGGCCGATTCCGATAAGGCGCGCATTGTCCAGGCGAAAAAATTGAACGTGAAGATTGTACTACCACACTGGTGAGTTTCGTAGTACATTAGCCAGAGACCCTCATTGACTTAGAACAGGTTCGATGACTGCCTTAAACTTGGTCGACGAATCGACGAACGTCCATATACACTTCCAGATCCAGAGATCTTGCGCGTTGGTCCTGATACTCCAATCCGGTGGCAAGAGAATAAGGACTTGGTCGGCGCGTCTACAACAGATCCGTCTAAACTGCCCACGCCATTTAGTTTGGCACATCAACCAGACCAACGGAGTGTCTTTGAAGGGAAGTCTATTATGCTGTCTCCGGATCTTGGAATCGGCTCGCACTTGCAGGAATCAATTCAAGCTGTCCTCGAACAAGGCGGTGCCAAAATGACATCAAATATTGATGGGGCAGACATGTTAATTTGTCGTTACCGGGAAGGGTTTGCGTACCGCACAGCATCGCGACTGAACATAGACGTTGGGAATCTCGCATGGCTCTACCGCCTCATGACGTTCAACACATATACTTCACCCCTCAGGCGACTACTGCACTACCCGATCTCTCGCACTGGCATCCTTGGGTTTGAAACCTTGAAGATCAGTTTGTCCAACTATGTTGGCGAAGCAAGAATCTACTTGGAGAACTTGATCATAGCAGCAGGTGCAGAATGTACCAAAACATTAAAGCAAGAAAATACCCATCTTATTACAGCACATGGAACCAGTGAGAAATGCAATGCGGCGAAGGAATGGGGTCTTGAAGTTGTCAACCACCTGTGGCTGGAGGACAGTTATGCAAAATGGAAGCTACAGCCAGCCTCAAACCCGCGCTACAGCCACTTCCCTCTGCGAACCAATCTCGGAGAAGTCGCAGGCCAGACTCAGCTTGACCGCAATGTTTTGGAACAGGTCTTTTTCTCGTCCGGAGAGACTGTTGCTCATAGCCCACGCCGCGCAATGCAGAGCAAGGACCAAAATATGGTTTCAGTACAGCCCCCCGCTGAGAAGAAACGCAAGATAGATGAGGATACCGTGGAAACCTCGCACGGTACTCCGCAGGGCAATGGAAAATCGCGCCGACCTATTCAAACACCTGCACGAACTCGAATCATGTCTGAGGGCAAAGAAAACGAGACCCCGTCGTCGACCAGCAGCCGCAAGTCAAAAGATGCAGCGACTGCCCGACTCCATGAATATGCCCCGGATCTTGCCTTGTACGAAAAGGAAAAGAAACGCGTGGGCGGTGTTATTTACGGTGGCAGACGAAAATCAGACGAGGACCGGGTTCAGGGGAACAAGAAGCGTGCCTCACTTGAAGCCGAGGATGAGAGCGAAGGCGAGCAGGCTGTAGAGACCAAACGACAGAAAAAGTCTCGGCCACCAATTGCTATGCACTTACTGATTACTGGCTATCAGAGATGGGTAGGGAAGGGTAACGAAAAGAAAGAGGACGCAGACAAGGTTTGTTTCTACTGCAATTCTAAATGTGATTGGCCCAAGAGTCACTACTGACACTTTCACAGCGAGGCCTTCGAGATCTCGGTATAATGGTGGTCCAAGATGCCCGGCGGTGCACTCACTTGGCCGCACCGTCAATCTTGCGGACCACAAAATTCGTCAATGCACTCGCGTATGCGCCAATGATCGTTAGCACAGACTTCATCACCAGTTGTCTAAAGAAGGAGGAGCTGCTTGACCCCTCTGATTTCCCACTGGAGGATAAAGACGCCGAGAAGAAGTACAACTTTGACCTGTCTTCTGTCACAGCAAATGCAGAGAAAAACAAAAATAAAATGCTGCAGGGCTATCGCATCTATTGCGTCGAGGACATTCGAGGTGGATTTGATGCATTCAAGTCTATTGTTGAAACAAACGGAGGGGAGTGCATGCTATTCCGCGGTCGTCTAGCTATAACGAACCATTCCCGGCGGGAGGAGAGCGACGACGAGAGCGAAGCGGAAGACAACAATCCTGCTCGTAAGGATGTCTTTCTTCTTAGTAGTACCGGAGCTAATCACGGCCGAGTCTGGCCTCGATTCCGTCAACTGGCACTCGATATCAAGAAGACTCCACGAATTGTCCGAGTTGACTGGCTCCTGGACATGGCCATGTCGCAGGAGACACGCGCCGCCGACGAATACGAGTTGACTGAGGAGATGATCGAGAACACGAATGAGTAGAATCATACCAAGGTATTGAGTCCACGGCCCTCATCCATCTAGGGCTTTCAACCCAAGAACATGGATTCTGTGTATAAGTTTGGAGTACCGGTGACGTGATTTGACATATCATTTGACCTGCACATGAGAAGCGCTTTGTTTGCCACGAATAGCCACGACTTATCTCATAGAGAAATCCTAGCATCTCATCTTGAGCCTTCAAAAGAACTTAACACCCTCCTGGCCCTCACTACCAAAAATCTGCGCCCTGCCCCTCTTAACCAAGACATTTAGCGAGCGCAGCATGACATCAGTATCCATGCCATGGAACTCTATAGACGCGAATCAGCATAAACCGTAAACACTCCCACTCATAACCAAAGAGGGAATCTCACCCTGCGACATGGCCCCCTCTCCATGAATAAGCTCGTATACTGTTAGAACCGATCCCCTTTGTCCAGTTCCCTCAACCCACTCAAGCACCACATCTGCCCACTCCTCAGGCCTCCTCCACCAAATCCACGCAACAGATTTCGGCCCTTGCCCGGCACCATTCCCCAAGCCCCCTGAAGATGACGCGCCTCCAGCATCAGAGATCCACTCCGCTCGCCGTCCACCGCCGCCTTCCTCTTCGCTCTTGGTCATCCAGTCGATGACGGCGCGGGCCTCGTGCAGATCAAGGCGCTTGCGCAGGGCTGTATTGTGGAAGAGTGGGGTTTCAACAGCCTCGATTAGGGAGAGGCGGTATTGGCGGTGATGCCGGCACCAGGACTGAATCAGAGAGGACCATTTCTTGAGCTGCGCGTGGCGGGTTGTTGTGTTTGGTTGCGGGGTGAAGAAGGGGGGAAAGTTGTAGGTTGGCGGGAAGGGGAAAGGGGAAATTGATGACATATTGAAAGGAAGTAAAGAGCAATTAGCGAATCAAATAACCAAAATAGACGTAAAAAGTCACAGGTACAATGTCGAGACAAGAAGAGATAAAGAACATTGAAAGTTGAGAGAGACTCTAAGCTGTGGAGTACAAGGTGGGGCCCGGGGGATTTTCTCAATTTCGACTTCGACCTTTTCGATTTCTCTCTACTCTTCCCCTGGTCTGCTCTTCACAATGACCACCCAAAATCCACCTGCAAAGCGTATCAAGCGCGAAGAGTACCGTCGAAATGTACAGGCCCAGCAGGAATCCACTGATGGCTCCATCATTAAGATGCCGCAGAAGAAATTCTTCCGCCAGCGCGCGCATGCGAATCCCTTCTCTGATCACCGGCTAGAGTAGTATGTATCTTCTTTTGCCAATTCTACATATCATTTCCATTGGCATATCCATGTGCCCCTCGAGCTTCACTGGCGACAATTCCTACACATCCAATCAGGAACTGATAGCTAACTAATGCTCTAATAGTCCCGTCAGCCCCGCGCATATGGACTGGTCATCCCATTACCCTGCATTCGTGGATCCAGATACATCCAAAACGACCCTCAGCGGAGGGCGCAAGTTGACCAAGGAGGTCGAAGTCGTGGATATCGGATGCGGATTCGGCGGGTTGATGGTTGGCCTAGCGCCATTGATGCCAGATACCCTGATGGTCGGTAAGTACAGCGCATTAATATTCAAATATACACTTTGCACCCGCCCACATGAGCACCACAAAATTAACAATCTGTCACAGGCATGGAAATCCGCACCTCAGTGCTGGAATACCTCAGCTCTCGCATCCACGCCCTGCGCAGCCAACAACAACGCCTCAAGAACAAAGCCGCAAACCCATCATCAACCGAACCCAAAGATGCCTCCGCACAACCCGAAAGCACCGAATCAACTCCGGCACCCGTCCCAGCTAATGATGACGAAATCGGCACGGAGAAACTCTTCCCAGGAAACTTCGAAAACATCACCGCAATCCGCAGCAACACAATGAAGTTCCTCCCCAACTTCTTCGGCCACCACCAACTCTCCAAGATCTTCATTTGCTTCCCGGATCCTCACTTCAAGGCTCGTAAGCATAAGGCCCGTATCATCTCCGAGTCCCTGAACTCCGAGTATGCGTATGTCCTGCGGCCTGGCGGTCTGCTTTATACCATTACCGATGTTGAGGAGTATCACTACTGGGTCCTGCGGCATTTCCTGCATGGAGAGCAGCCGGAGGGTGGGGCGGCCCCTGCTGCGAGCAGTAAGGATCTGTTTGAACGGGTTTCTGATGAGGAGCTTGCTCTTGATCCTTGTGTACGGGTTATGAAGTACGAGACGGAGGAGTCGAAGAAAGTTACGAGGAATAAGGGAAACAAGTATGTCGCCGTTTTCAGGCGCAAGGCTGATCCTGAATGGCCTGCTTAAAAAGGGGGTTGAAGGAATTAGATATAATTAGAACGGAAAATACGGGAAGTTATTGGAATCATTTCAATGGTATGACGATAAGAGAGAGGTGTTTCGGGCGTTTCTTCCGGTTCTAAATGCATTTCCAATATGATACTCGCTGACAATCTTCGCTTGCTCACAATAACGAACCAACTCCCGAAATGAACCCCGACAAAAAAAGGGCTGTAGAAAAACATGCAGAGAAATCAAGTGATGCAACAATCAAACACCGACAACATGCGTGAATCTATCATAAGAGCAGTAATTTCGTTAACACATGGTGGGTAATACTCCGCAACTAAATGGTACAGAAATCTAGCACATTCCAGGCGCCTTAAGACGGATACCTTCACATCTCTCACAGATAGCCAGTTGAACTGGACCACCGATGATGCGGCCCTTGGCTGTTCGCTTGGGCTCGCCTTCACGAACGAAGAACCGACCCTCCGGACCAAAGCCATCGCCACACTCGTGACAATTGAAACAGCGCTCGTGCCACTGGCCGCCAATTGCAGAAATGACAACGTCGTCCATGACGTGCTGTTTACAGCCCAAACAACGTGGTGCGGTACGGCGCGAGTGGCAGTGGAGACACCATGCGAAGCCATCTTTCTCGACAAAGGGAGTTTGGGAATCGAAGGGCTATATTAAAGAGCAATAGTTAGTTGTCTTGCATGCGAAATCAGAAAGGAAATCCACACATACATCACCGCATTCTGCGCAGAAGAAGTGGCCGACATGCCATTCAGCACCACATGCCACTACCACTTCTCCTTCAATAGGGGTCTTGCAGCTCTTGCAACGGGGGCTGAACATCTCGTGGAAATCCAAGTGGCAGTAGAAACGTGGCACACAGGCCTCATGATCATTAGCTTCGGTTGCTAATCTTTCGGCTCTGCTAGACTCTGGTTCTTGATAGAAAGCCACACATTCCAGAGCTGTATGGCAGTGGAAACAGGTAAAGCACTCCGGGTGGAATCGACATCCGCCAGCAGTCACGATTTTTCCGGAAATGGAAAGTGTACATAGCTCACACCTTGCAGTAGGGACGCCAGATCGTATATAGGGCGAGTACCAACGGCTCTTCGAATCAGATCCCTGCTGTTTTGGGAAACCTGGTTTAGTTGGGCAGCTTCTCGTCGACTGGGGCACTGGTCTGGTCTGTTGCTTAGAAGGAGCTTCTATCTCGGAGATAGTGGGTACTTTGATGTCCGGGATATTGATGACGGGGATTGGGGGTGGCTCGGAGACTTCGATCGAGGGCGCTGAGACTTCAATGGTCGGTGGTGCTATTTCAATCACGGGTAGGGTTGGACGATCAGGTTTCGGCTGGTCACTTGGTTTCCAAGTTCGGTCGAAGCTCACGATTGGGCGTCCAACTCGATCACTGACGGCTGTAGGCATTGGTAACTTTTCACTGCGGTCTCCTCGCTTTTTGCTTGTAGCTGCGCGGATATCGTCACTGCGTCTTTCTCTTCCATCCTGGGTGGGAGTAAGTTCACGCTTTTGTTCGGGAGGAGGAGTTGGAGTAACAAGCTCATTTCTAGTGTAACCGGCGTTGTGTGACTGAGTAGAAGGAGGAGTAGCGCTTTCGTTTCGAGTATAGCCGGCATTTCGTGGCTGGGGGGGAGGGTTCTTGTTGATTTCAAACCGCGAGATCTTATCCATCAAAGGGCTGCTGTGAGCTCTATTTTGCAACCAAGGTAGCGGCCTAGGAACACGCCCCAGAGCGTTGCGCGGTTTGTTTTTCAAAGCTGACGAGTCCGACTTCGAAAAGTCTGGCTTTGCTTCGGGTTCCTTCTGAGTGTCAACGGGCTCTTCGTAAATTTGATCGTTAGGATTCCTGAAGATCCCTTTAGATGAATCACTACTGGCGGAGCGTGATTTGGGAGCAAGAGGCTGCTCGGGTTCCTCGTCAGGTAGTTTAAAGTTAACCTTGAGATTCTTCTTTGAGGGTCCAGCCAGAGATGATCGTTTGCGCGCTGACTCAGGGCTAGAGTTGACATCAGAGGAGACACTTGAGCCTGTTGACTGGCTGAATCTATTGGTCGAGGGATTATATTCTCGTGGAATATCTAGGACAGGGCTCTGGCTGCGCCTATCGGAATCGGGATTCTTGTATGGCGCATAAGGGTTTTTGAAAGCTTTACCAGGATTTTGATGCATCCAAACTAGCTCGGTGGCCTCGTCCTGGGCTGCTTGGTGAAGACCAACGTCATCCTGAATATCCATTTTCTGCAAGGCGTCTCGTAGTGCCCGTGCTTCTTCCTTTTCATGTCGTCGTTGACCGTTTTCACGATATGACAGAGATGGAGATACCGGAATTGGAATAGTGCGTGCATGAATTTGTGCTGGAAACACGTTCTTTCGGATCGAATGCGTGCGTGGCTCCTGAACTAAAGGACGACCCATTGCGCCGCCGCTGGGCACATGGGAATTCGCCCGGCGATGGGACATTGCGCTGCCTGAACGTGGGTGAACTTCAATTTCATCTTCGACTGGGGTGTGCATGGATAATGCCGATGATGCCCTTGGAGGAAGGCTATCAGGAATATCGCTTGTTGATGCGGCTGCTCTGCCTGGGTATGGACGAGATCCTGTTGGACGGACCGGACGATTTGACCGCAAGTCCTTCAAGTATGTTGCTGTTGACTCACATATCAGTCCCGAGCCGTTCAACACTAACGAGGCACTTACAAACTTGATCACTGGACATGAAGGATGGCCCAGGAGGTGAGACCTTCCTCTGACCAGTGGTATGCTTATGCATCATGGAATTTGCAATTTGCAAGGATCAAGGATATGAAGAGATATACGGATAAGTACAGGATAATGACGAGGGACCAAGAGAAACCAGGACGAACTAGGATGAGAAGAGTCTAGTTGCGATCTACGCCTGTCGGTCTGAGCTGGCTAGCGTCATTGGGCTGCTTCCCCTCCAAACAAACCCCTAGGGGCCCGTCGCGAGGCAACGGATGACTCATCATCTTTACATAATATACCGATAAGGGCTTGGCTCTATTTAACCCCAACAAGCCCTATATTGGACACAACGTAGGGGCATATTTAATAATAGGTATACTTGACAGAGATGTCAGCCCTATGGATATATCCATGGATATCTCTAATTAAGCTTAAGAAGCATCCATTGTTATTCTTTGACCCTTGGAAATAACTAAGAAAATTCCCCCACATCTGCCCAACTTGGACTCAACTTGGACTTGACTGGACTCCTCCGCATCGGCTTCTCGGCACAAGAGACCCCACAGCCAAGCAACGCTGACACCTCGAAGAATGACCTTCTTCGAGCGCAAAGTATAACATAGCTCTATACTGCCAGCTTCCTTCATTGGTCAAATATCGCCGAATCGAAATGATAAATGAGACCCCCGGACATCTTTCCTCTATATGAACAATGTTCCTTGGATTCGGCATGTAGTCCGATAGTCCGATAGTCCGATAGTCCGATGGCTCCAATGATTACCAACAATAAACTGATAGAAATCTAGTCCTTTTTTTGCTAGCGTGCTAACTTAAGTCTCCTGCTTCTTTTCACTACATATCTCCATGTTGTGACGAAAACGGCAACCGGTTTCGGCTTACTTTCCAAGGAGCTTGTTATCTCATAATATAACAACAAGCTGGGCTTGTATCTGAGCTACTATGGCAGATAATGTGCCAATAGATATTATCCGTTCCCACCAAAATGATCTGGGCCGAGAGAGCACAAAACAGGAACAGAATTTCCATCCACAGCCGGCACCGGATGAAGATGAAGATGAGAAATATAAGCGTGATGTGGCCCCGGACGGTGGCTATGGCTGGGTCTGTGTCGCCTGTGTTTTCTGGATTAATGCGCATACCTGGGGTATTAATAGCGTGAGTCATAAATTTCCGCCTTTTCACTCTCGTCTTACTAACAGGTCTGATATTCAGAGTTATGGAGTCTTTCTGAGCTATTATATCTCAAACGATGTATTCCCCAACACATCTGCCCTATCATACGCCTTCACGGGCGGCTTGAGTATCTCCTGTGCGCTTCTAGTGGCCCCATTAGCCACTTGGATGATCCAAAAATGGGGCACACGACTTGTCCTCAACATTGGCATCTTCCTCGAAACCCTCTCTTTGATAGGGTCCTCGTTCGCAACCCAGAAATGGCACATCTTCCTCAGCCAAGGCGTCTGTTTCGGCTGGGGCATGGGCTTTCTCTTTGTGGGTAGTGTCGGTATCACTCCGCAATGGTTTGATAAGCACCGTGGCGTAGCGATGGGCATCAACGCTGCCGGGTCTGGTCTCGGCGGTCTGATCTACTCCCTCGCAGTGGGCGCCATTATTCCGCGTTACGGGTTGGGCTGGGCTTTCCGCATTTTGGGTATCATTTCTTGCGTCGTGAATCTGGTATGCTGTAACTTGCTCCGGGACCGCAATAAGGCCGTCGGCAGTAGATTCACAGCTTTCCATCTGCCTCTCCTGCGTCGCCCGGAATTTTTGCTCTTCCTCGGGTGGGGCATATTCAGCATGCTTGGCTACGTGGCGCTAATATTCAGTGTTGCCAATTTCGCTCTCTCCGTCGGTCTCTCGTCGCACCAGGGGAGTATTGTCTCGGCGCTGCTCAACCTTGGTCAGGGTCTTGGGCGTCCGTGTGTTGGCATATTCAGTGACCGGCTTGGTCGCATTAATATTGCCACTTTCCTTACCTTCCTCTGTGGTCTATTCTGTCTCGCCATCTGGACTTCTGTTGATAGTATGGGTGTGGTATGTTTCTTCGCCGTTTTGGTTGGCACTGTCGCAGGCACGTATTGGGCTACTGCATCTCCTGTTCTGGCGGAGATCATTGGCATCAGAGACCTGCCTTCCGGCTTAAGCATTAACTGGCTCACGCTTGTTGCTCCTTGCACTGTCTCTGAGGCTATCGCCCTTCAGCTCCGCAGCAATCATGTTGGTGGCGGGACTTCATATCTGCGCGTTCAAATATTTACTGGATTCATGTATTTTGGTGCTTTCTTGTGTTTATGGTTCGTCCGTGGTTGGAAGGTCGGCGAGTTGGAGCGTGCTGAGGGACGTGATTCTGTCGTCCAGCCTGGCCCGTTGATTGGAACCCACGGTGGAAGTGAGAAGCAAAACAGCCCTGTAATTATTTCATCGGCCTTGGAGGCTACTGGAACAGATGCTTCGTTGTGGGCCCCCGTCAGTTTGGTTCGCAGAATGATCACTTTGAAAAAGGTTTAATATAGCTGCATAATACGGAGTACATATATGCCAGACAAAATGAACATACAAAAATAGACAATCGTCTTGTCATTAACTTGATTTGAACACCGTTTTAATACTAGATCTAATCTACATGGATGTAGCTTTTGGTTCATGCCTCCATAACCAGAATCCGGACCCTTCTCTTGCCGGCGCCACGACCCTCTTCCTTGACGGAGCTAACATTGACGCGAACCCGTTGGAAGAGTTCAACTGTCACACTGCGCTCCTTCTCTGAGTGGCCCTTCTCTTCCACACGAAGGGTGTATTCCTCGCTATCAAAGTCCGTGGTGCGGTGAGGAGCTAGCTCCCGCCTCTCAGCGACAGAACGGGCTCCAGATTCACCAGGCAGGACAAAGTCCTCCAGACGAACAACACCTTCAATACCAAAGCGGGGAACGAAGATGACAACACCATTCTCGAACACACGCATCACGTATCCTTCTTCTTCAATACCAGCATCGACACCATCGGCGGCCATCTTCTCTCCACGGGCCTTGAGAGCCTGACCCACGTAGTATTCAATACTAGCGCGGCCGGCATGCTGTGCATTGCGGTGACGGACGTTGATGTTTCGGCAGATGTCCTCTAGCTTGTTGCGGGTGGTGACACCCTCGATGACTGCGTGTCCATCCTCGCCTTCATACCCGATGGCAGAAGCCAATTGTCGGTGAACCATCAGATCGGCATATCGTCGAATGGGCGAAGTAAAGTGGGTGTAGATGGGCGAGGCCAGACCGTAATGACGGAATTCAGATTCGGTAAAGGCACCCGCGCAGAAATATTCAGCAGAGGTCATGCAACGGGTCGCCAAGATACGGACCAGAGTGTTGAAGAATGGGTTCTTGGGATCGACACAGCGGTCCAAGGAATCAGCCAGAGCTCGCGAGCTGGAGACATCAATCTCCATGTTCCGCTTCTTTGACAGTTGGTTTTGAAGCTCCTCGAAATTCTGAGGCGGGGGTGTGGCGTGTCGACGTAGCAAGGCCGTCTGAGAAAAGGACTCGTAGACCTTTGTGCCTACAGTGATATTGGCGAGAAGCATGAACTCCTCGACCAAACTATTTGTGTCAAGCATGGCCTTAGTCTTCACGTCCGTCAAGGGATCGCCCACTTCGTCGCCTTCAGACTCAATACGAACTTCCGGAGAGGCAAGGTTCAAGGCACCAGCGTCCATACGCTTCTGACGGAGAACCTTGGAGAATTTCAAGAGGGTGCGCATGCTTTCAGTCAGCTCGTCCTGCTGTGATTTGTCGTCGATGCGCAACTGAGCTTGTTCGTAACTGAATGCTTCTCGGGAGCGAATGACCGATTTGGTGAAATTCGAAGACACTATCTCGGCATCAGGTGTCACCTCCCATATAACCGAGAAGGCATATCGCTCAACATAGGGCTTGAGAGAGCAAAGGTCTGTACCAAGGAGATGCGGAAGCATGTCGATACGCTTATCGACAAGGTAAACAGTGGTTCCACGAACACTGGCCTCGAGATCCATTGGGTTGTTGGGCTTGACGAAATGCGACACATCCGCAATGTGAACACCAACCTCATAGTTTCCATTTGGTAGGAGACGCGCGTGAAGTGCATCGTCAATATCCTGACAACCGGGTGGATCGATACTGCAAATCAGCAAGTCTCGAAGATCTTTCCGGCCGTTCCAGCCCTTGTCTTCCTTCGAGACAGGTACCTTCCAATCATGTCCTTCGGATGGGAGGCAGTCCAGTACAGATTTCGGGAATGGCTTGTACTGCACGTCGTATTCAAGTAGTAGAGCCTCGGTTTCGGCCCCCTTGGTTTCGAGCTCTCCCAGAGAACGAACGAAGTGACCAGTAGGGTATCTCGAATCGCGGTCCCAAGAATCGATGGTGACAAGGATACGCTGACCGAGAATATCGCCAGCCTGTCTTGTGCGAACTCTGATCTTCGGGATACGCTTGTCCATCGGCAGTAAGAAGACGTTTTGTTGCCGTCTGCCAGAGGCCTGTGAGCCAGTAGAATTCGAGTCAACGTGACCAACGTATTGACGCCAGCTGCGCTTGATCACACCAACAACCTTGGCAGTAGGTTGTGGCTTGCCATCCGAGTTCTTGCCATGGGCCTTTTTGACTTCTTCCTGCAGAGCTTTTCGTTCTCTGTCTGTCACCACAGCCTCGGTCTCCTCAGTATCAGGGTTATCATTACGGGTCACGGCCTCCTCGTCCACAATCTTAGTCGAGGGGCTCTTCCACTGATCCTTTGGCAGTACTTCGACCACAACAGAATCACCTGCAATAGCGCGGTTACTGTTATCACGGCCTAGAATAAGAAGAGGTTTATCGAAAGCTGCGGTCTTGACGGAGGCTTCCAGGTAGTTGTAGGGAGAAACATTGAACACTCCTTGGTGCAATGTTCCGGCTCGCAGGCCAGTTGTGAGTTTTGACATTGAGAAGTATTCAGGGTAGAATAGTTCCCCGCGTGTTGCTTCTTTGGCATCTCGCGCATCCTTTGATTCGCTGATCATATCCAGCAACATCTCGGACCCCTCCAAACCGGAGACATAGTCGGATAGCGACAAGGCCGCAACATTTTCTTCCTTGCATTTCCGGAGATTCTCCTTGTCATCAGTGATGACCACAATTGCCGGAATCGCCTTCTCTTTCTTTCCCTTCTTTGCTGATTGTTGTAGATGGGAACTGTACCAACTTGCTACCATGCGCACAGCGCGATCATTCCTATCGTTGATTGTTTCCTCCGGACCTCTCCGAACATGAGTCTCTCGGCGGAATTCATTGAAAAAGAGGTAGAAGCGCTTTTCGTCTGATTTGACGAGGGCCAGAAGACGGTTGTAGAGTGGTAGGGATCGGTTTCTCAATTCCTCGAGGACGGTCTGGAGGACAATCACATCGTAAAAGGCCCCAGTGTGCTCAAAAAGATCCATTCCATTAAGTAGCGCATTTGTATCTGGAACAAGGTAGTGGCCTCGTGGAAATGCCGTTGTGCCGGCGGGGCGATCGGATAGGATGAACGGCGCAACTGTTTCGTATTAGCAACTTGCTTGACCACAGTAATGGTTTCCTTACTATTTCCATTAGCATCAGCTGGCGCAATCGTCGGGCATTGTGAGCAGAGCTTGGAAGAGCAAGGAATATCTTCTCTCAAATAGAGCTCGCGGACAATCTTTTGCACCTTTCCACTTTTCGTGGACCTAACGAAGACCTTGCTGGTGACATTTGCGGCCTGCGGGTTGGCAGACAAGTCCCTCCTTAAACTCTTCATTGCGGCGATTAGGATTCTGCCGTCTAGCAGTTGTTGAATATGTCAAAACCTGTGTGTCTTGTGAAAGATCCGAGGTGAGAGTCTTGGCGGAAGAAAGGTTATCGCTGATCATCGCGATAACTAGCTGAGTCAGCATACGGGCACCTGGGCAGCCCTGGAGGTCGTCACTTTGGGGTCAAAAGATGCCATTTGATTACTACAACAAACGTTTTTTTTTCTTTTTCGTAAAGAACTTGCTTCCAGACTTCTTTCTGATTCTGAAATCTAAACACTATGGTTCTAGCGGTATGTGCACTATCGAACGGGCGCGAGCCACTTGGCTAATAACCTACTTTGATATAGGCCGTGGGGCAGCTATGCTCGACTAGCAACATCACGTTAAATCTAGCTCAGTGCAAAGTGCTGGTTCAAAAGGCAGCAGCAGCAGGCGCCAAGGTGATATTCATATATTCTAATGCCAACTCTCCGATAGACAGCTCATATATGTTAGGTGTTGTTTCTCCCCGAGGCATCGGACTATATCGCATCCTCGGCAGAGCAATCATACTCCCTCGCCCAGTCTCAAGAGAGGGCTAGTTTTGTCTCGTCCTTACAGAGAGATGCCAAGGAGCACAGCATCCACATCAATGTTGGGATTCATGAAGTAGCTTCTGAAACCAGGCTCAAGAATTCATTGATTTGGATCGACGACAAGGGAATCATTACCCAAAACTACCAGAAAATCCATCTATTCGACGTTGATATCAAAGATGGGCCTGTACTCAAGGAGAGCGCGTAAGATTTCTTGTTTTTATTCTTATACAAAGATCTCACAGTTAACTTATTATTCCACCCAGGAGCGTCCAGCCGGGACAACAAATTCCAAGGCCATTTGAAACACCTATAGGGCGTGTTGGCCTAAGCATTTGTTTTGATGTAAGTACAATGCATGTTGACATTATATCGGACATCAGACTGTTCAGCTTCTTACTCTTGCCGGATCACCTAGTTGCGTTTTCCAGAGATCAGCCTGGCATTGAGGCGACAGAATGCTGAAATCATCACATACCCATCAGCATTCACTGTTCCGACTGGCAAGGCTCATTGGGAGCCTTTGCTACGAGCACGGGCCATCGAGACCCAGTCGTACGTGATTGCAGCTGCGCAGGCAGGCCCCCATAATGAGAAGAGACAAAGCTACGGTCATTCTATTATCATCAACCCTTGGGGTGAAGTAGTAGCAAAGCTGGGAGATGAGCACCATGAACCACAAATTGCGACTGCCGATATTGATCTCGATCTTGTGGCAAAGATTAGGCGTGAAATGCCGTTGCTTCGGAGAAATGATCTATATCCAGAGATTTGAGAACCCTGCGTGAACAGCGAGGCGGCGAATGCCTCTTTTTCAGTACAATTCGCAAGGAGCCTATTATATATCAACTTTCATGCGGTTTAACTTCAATCATTTCATGATGTACTCAGTGCGAATTATAAGCATTTTTTTGCGACCGGAGCACCTATAACCAACATGACGGAAAGAAACTTCGAAAAGTGTAAAGTGATACAACAAGGAACAAACGAAAATAGATGAGCATGCAAAAAACCTGTCTAAGAACGAGACCGGAACATCATATCTGCCGTCGCAGGTAGTACAGGCATAAATCGAAATAGTCCCTCTTTGATCTCTATGTACAGCGTACAAATTTGGCGTTTATTTCTTGACCTTGTCAGGATCCTCGAGAATGCCCTCAGCTTCCAGTCTCCGTCGGGCCTCCTCGAGAGCCCATGTTTGTATACTATTGCAATCGTCAGTCTTCCAGTTGTGCGAGGAGCACAGACGCCAATAACGAGGCGCGAGATATGGATTATACGTACGAGGTATCAGGCTTGAAAACATATGCGACACCAGCGACCAAAAAGCTTCCAATGAATCCGTAGTACCAAATGTTCTCCCAGCCTTCCTTCACGTACTTCTGGCCGGGCTTGATACCGAACAGCCAGCCAGTGGGGGGATCATAGTGATCACCGTGGTCCGCGGCACGCAGACTGGATCGAGTTGAGAATGCCTGAGTGTTCTGGGGCTGGCGAGGCAGGCAGCGCACCCGGAGGATGTGCGACAATGGCCGGGCAGTCATCTTGAAGATGGGGGTGAAGGAGGGTTGAGGCCGATCGAATGAACACGGGCGTGCGATAAAATTGGTGGAAGTCACAAGGGTCAGAATATCCGATTAGATTCAGGTAGCAAGAATAGTCTCAATTGATATGTTGCCTCTTGCAGGAGAGTGGAGGGGTGGTTCGGCGGGTTGATGTCGAAGCCGTAAAAGGCCGGGAAGCTGTCCAGTTATTGCGCTAGTCTACTTTGGGGCAATTTTCTTGTCCGCCTTTACACCCGTTATTTGAGGCAGATATATGCGCTTCTGCCTTGGAAAATAGGTGTCAGCACTACACACGCGACGCGTTCTTATCACTTCTTCCCCATGCCGCCAGCAAGGCGCTGGACTCGCCATTCGTTTCATTTTTCCATATGCACGAACATCCAAAGTAATTAAACCGGTAAATACCCTCTTTTAACTGGTGTGTTTCATCTCAAACCCCAATGCATCCCCATTTCTGACGTTGTCCTGCTCCAGCTTCCCGCGGAATGTATCCTTACCAATTTTGAACGCGTCATTGAATATTTCCGAATGGAAGCAATGGCAGCAAACAATGCATACCCTATATCTTCAAACTCACGAACAAAATTGAACGCTTTTCGCTTCCAAGAGAACGAGGTAGTTCCCGACGACGCTACTTTGGAAGACGAGACGAAATCAGTTAATGGAAGCAAAGAACATAAAAACACAGGCACCAACGGTGTGACAGGTCTGATGCAAGCGTCATCTGACAAAGGATGCCCTCCGTCTCGCGAAGCTCAAGCACCGGAACCCCAAGTACAAGAATCAAAGCCGATTAAAGAATGTCCTCAGACTCCAGGAAACAAGATACCTCTGGCAGACTTAATCAGTAATGCCGAGGATTCGTTTGATCCCGCACCAGGCCCGGAGGTAACACCAGTTGAGCATGTCATCTGGCAGCATGTGCCTGCCAGCTCGAACCCAGACAGCTCATCCCAGACCCCAGTGGGCCGTCGCAGAAAACGCCAGCACAGTTCTTCGCCTGCTGGCTCTCCCTCGAACGGGAATAAGAAAAAGGCGCAAAAAGAAGCCCTTGATCTTCATGCAATGCAAGCCCTCTTCAAGACACCACAGCATGACATGGCTGCTGATTTGTGGAACAACTACATGGATAAAAACATGGTCAATGGTCCGGATGATCTTCCACCGCCGCGGCTCGCAAATCTTCTTTCCTCATCGCCTCAGACACCAGGTTCGGGCAGAACAAGTCGAGATTCCTCGGGGCTAAGACGCGCAATTAGCTGCACTACCGATTTCCCCACCTCTCGGACAAAACGACGACGAGTCAATCGACTAGATGTTGGTCCCAACCGCGGCATGTTTCAACGAACCAGCAGCAATGTCGAATCTGGGAACCCTAAGTCCTCAAGGATCAACTATCTTATGGAGAAGATTGAGAAAAGTATACACATGGCCCCTGCCGAGACGGGTCCACCTGGATCGTCGCCTCTGCGCCAACATATGGATACGCGAAGGTGTCGATCGTCTTCACCCACAAAGGACCATAGGCTTCACAAAGCCGATGAAGAAGTCGATGAATCCCCATGTGGCGTATCGCCCGAGAAAGTAAGACTTGGGAAACTGCCCGTTCTTCAAGAGTCGTCCTCCGAGTTCGGAGACGATGATCTTGACCAAGATCTGATGGACCTAGTCGGTGCTTCTGAGGATCCTTTTATCGAGCCGGCACATGCATCAGATGAGTTTGCTTCGCTGGGATCTTCTAGCTGGGCTGTTCTTGCCGCAGAAAAGTCTCGGTCATGGCAGCCCAAAGAGAATTCAATCCTCGACAGCAAACCTCCCATACCCCATAACACTACGATTAACGAAAGAAAACGCGATGAGTTTGATGACTTTGAAGATGAATATGATGATCTACCCGACAACCTACAGGAAATACTTGCAAAGTGCGATACAAAGCCCGTCCCGGTCAATTCATCAAAGCCAGCCACTACTGGGCCACTATCTTTGCAGAGGTTAGAGGCAATGGATGACTCGGTGAAGGAGAGTATGCATAGCAAGCCCCCGACTGTCGCACCTGTCAAAGCTGAGGTGGCATCATCGGATGATGAGTTTGATGATGATTTTGATCTGGAGGCCATTGAGCAAACTATGAAGCAAGCAGGTGAAGGAGGACCGGCTCATGTTAGTCACTCTTAGTGGATTAATCTCTAAATATATGCTAAGACAGTCAAAACAAATAGAACCTAAAAGGACGACAAGCTATCAAACGTTACCACATCGTTGACATCATGAAGAGCACATATGTTACTCCGAAAGGACGTACTCAGCCAGAGCAGGTCAGACACCTTGCCTTTGCCTCGGATATAGTCCCGTGCGCTGACTTTAAGTACAGTGTTTGCTAGTTGAAGACGAGAAAACCCGAGACCGCAAGACGATAGTGTTGCGAGAGTCATGGCTTGACACTCCCTGCAGCAAGGACTCGTATATCCACCTGGTAGGGCACTTCAACGCAGCCGGTCAATGCGTTGTGGATAACTTGAACCATATGATCATTCTTCACCCCGACCATCTTATTTCTGCTACGGTCGTAGCAGACTCGATAGACTGTCAGCGACGAGCTGTCCTTCAAGATCGAGTCAAAGTCATTTCTGCACTCGAGCGACCGCAAGCCTTCGGAGTGTTTTTCCACGAAGTCTTTCAAGAAGCCCTCAAAGCGAATCAATGGGATATGGTGTCATTGAAGGCCTTGGTCGAAACCGTCATGGGCAGACACATTGAAGAGCTGTACTCGATTCAAATGAGTATCCCAGAAGCTGTTGAATATCTCATGAGCAGGATGCCTGCTGTTCTCGACTGGGCAGATGCTTTCTTGCATCTCAAGCCACAGGTATGTCTCACGGCCGATGGAGGCTTCTTTCAGCCAAGAAACCTTGCTAATCAAGATCAATAGACCAAATCGATGGTTGAAGATCGCAATAGCTCTAAGCTGAATCTGAGTATCAACAAACTGCTTGAGGTAGAGGAGCACATCTGGTCCCCAATGTATGGCCTCAAAGGCAATATCGATGCGACAGTACAAGTCGCTTGTCGCGAAGATAACATGGAGAAAACCCTGGTGGTGCCGCTGGAACTCAAGACTGGACGAAGGGATACAAACCAGTCACATAGGGCTCAAACAGCTCTCTACACTCTACTCCTGTCAGATCGTTATGGTAGGTAGTGGAATATTCTCTCGAGCTCGCAAAGCTCCTTCGGCTAGTTAATTGCTTGCTAAAAAATCGTTGCAGACATCGATGTTACATTTGGGCTTCTTTACTACCTTGAGTTAACGAAAACTTTCAGTATCCGTGGGGTCCGGCACGAACTACTCCAGATGATCCAGGTGCGCAATCACCTCGCTGGCTATATTCGTGAAAGGGAGCAGCTTCCACCAATGTTGAAGAAAGCTCGTCAATGTATTCGATGCTATGCTAAGACTCCTTGCCTCATCTATCACAAGCTCTCCGAGGATGGTGATGGCGAGACCAGCGCACTTGGCGAGGATTTCGATGCAGCTGTCGGTCATCTGAACGACGGTGATCGCGACTTCTTTCGTAAATGGGATGAACTTTTGACTAAAGAAGAAGGCAATCTCGTGAAGTTCCGGCGAGAACTTTGGACGTTGCTAAGCAGCGAGCGAGAAGCCTTGGGCCGATGCTTCGGGGACGTCGTTATAGATCCAAACTCTGTGTATGAGGAGAACACTGGGGCAAAGATAAATCGCTGTCATTACACGTTCGTCAAAAGACAAGCGCCTCCTGGTTTCTCCTTTGCTGCATCTCAAATATCTGTCGGTGAACCGATTGTCGTTTCAGATGAAAAGGGCCATTTTGCTCTCGCCAACGGATACGTGGTGAATGCTAGTTCGTCACACATCGAGGTTGCCGTGGACCGGAAACTTCACAATGCACGATCAAAGACGGCTGGTTTCGATGCAGTCACAAATCAGTCTTTCAGAGGAATCATGGAGATTGGAAAAGAAGAGCCTGCTGCTCTAAAAAACCCATATGAGCAGCTCGTTTATCGGATCGATAAAGATGAGTTTAGCAATGGCATGGCCATCGTTCGAAACAACCTCATCTGTATGATGGATAAAGACCTGTTCCAAGCGAGGCAGCTTCGACGGCTCATTGTTGAGGGGCAAGCCCCCGCCTTCAAGACGACCTCATCTTCATACACGATCTCCGATCCTGGCAACCTCAATGTTGATCAAAGACAAGCCATTGACAAAGTAATGAGTGCCAAAGACTATGCTCTTGTCCTTGGAATGCCTGGGACTGGAAAAACCACAACCATTGCCCACATCATTAGGGCCCTTGTCGCACAAGGCAAGAGTGTTCTTCTTACATCTTACACCCACACTGCAGTTGACAACATCTTGCTGAAGATTCGAGACGACGGCATTCGTGTGCTGCGTATAGGTGCGACCGTCAAAATTCATCCAGACGTTCAGGAATTTGCCGATCTTGCCGCAATCCCGAAATCAACCATTGAAGAACTCAAGGATTCATATGAAAAGCCGCAGGTCGTTGCCACTACATGCCTCGGAGTCAACCATAACATTTTCAACCAACGCATCTTTGACTATTGTATTGTCGACGAGGCGTCACAGATCACGCTGCCAGTCTGTCTCGGCCCGATTCGTATGGCAAGGACTTTCATCCTAGTCGGTGATCACTATCAATTGCCGCCGCTTGTGCAGAATAAAGCCGCCCAGGAAGGAGGACTTGACGTCAGTCTCTTCAAACTACTCTCGGATGCACAGCCGGATTCAGTTGTCAATCTAGAGCACCAGTACCGCATGTGTGAGGAAATCATGCTACTTTCCAATACCCTGATCTACTCAGGCCGTCTCAAATGTGGCACGCCGCAGGTGGCCGCCCGATCGTTAGACATACCCAACATCAACGCCCTCGAGAAATTCCATGTCGAGGACTTGAGCCATGCTCAGTCACAGTCCCAACGGGAACTCTGCCCGGATTCTCCCAGTAGCCCCTGCTGGCTCCGAGACTTACTCACGCCATCTGCAAAAACGCGCCTAGTCAACACCGATCCCATTGGCCCTGCAGCCCTCGAGATAGCACAGGGAAATCGTGTCGTGAATCACATGGAGGTTTTCCTCTGCTCGCAACTCGTGGAGTCATTCATTGCCTGTGGTATTCCTGCGCGCAACATTGGTGTGATCACATTCTACCGCAGTCAACTCTCGCTCCTTCGCCAGAGCCTACGGCACTACACCCCAGATCTGGAAATGCATACTACAGACAAGTTCCAAGGCCGTGACAAAGAGATCATTATCCTCAGCTGCGTCCGCAGTAACGCCGAAAAAAACGTTGGCGAGCTCCTGCGTGACTGGCGTCGTGTCAACGTCGCCTTTACCCGCGCTCAGACTAAGCTCCTTGTTGTCGGCAGCAGATCTACCCTTCATGATGGTAATGAGCTCCTCTGCAAATATGTGCGCCTGGTAGAAAGTAAAGGCTGGGTATATAACTTGCCCAGCGGAGCAATAGACAAGCATTTCTTCCCTTCTTGTACTACACAGTCGCAGCTCATGTCTCCGGGCGTGGTCCTGACTCCCGGCTCTGCCAAGGGCAAAGGCAAGGGCAAGAACAAATCACCTTCTACTTGTTCTTCTCGTGAACCACTAAGCCCACTGGGCTCCCGACAAGCAGCGCCTGGCCTTCAAAAGCCTTTAAAGACGGGCGCAAAGTTGTTCAATGGCACGAATGTGGTTGGGAATCGGCCCATCCTGCGAGACATAGTGAATGATCTGATGGGGTAGCATAACATGTTTCAAGGTTCTTGTTTCTGTGTTTCAAATGCAAATCGAGCCGTTTTCCTGTCTTATCATCTCACTCGAGTTGGGGTGCCGATACGGCCATTCGTCTTACAATGTATGCAACTTTTTGGGCTCAGCAATTACACTGAGTACCTGTATGTTTCAATTTTGATTAGCACTGCAGCCTATTGGTTAGTGGCTGTGAAATGTGGTTATACACTGGGATTTTATTTCTTCCATTGGAGATAGAGCACCGTAGTCCGCAAAAGCAACACGCAAGATGCTCAATGTTAGCCTCTCAGTTAAGAGAATTTACAGTGGAATTTGATAAAAGAGCAATTGATTCATGTAGGCTACAATCCATGTGTACCTACGAACACCGTTATCAGAATCCTCCTCGTGAACAATTCCCCCTCGAAATTTGAAATACACATTCACAAGAACAAAGAGCAAAAACTTTCTCGACATCCTCCGTTATTTCATCATGATTGATCCTTTCGAAAAGAAGAAAAAAAAACTTCCACCACTATGCCAGGCAAACATCATCTCTGCCCGATTCTACTTCTTAGAGACTCGTGCCTTCTTTGCCTGGGATCCGTTCAAGTATGTTCGGTCGCCATTGGGGGTAAAACTCCATCGGGCATGATTATTAGGATTAGCCACAAAGTTTTTGGGCATAATGTTCTCCATGAACTCAAAGGTTCTCTTGCCGGGAGAAGGGGCAGAAAGTGAAGAAATAGACTGCATAGACTCAGGAGGGGATGGATAAATTTCCGGTTGGACAGGCGGCTGAACATGTTGAGCTGCTGAAGCTTGGAATTGCTGGGATTGCTGCATCACAGGCTGCATGCGCGCCTTGGGAGTGGTAGGATAGACTGCTTGCATGTTTGGGGTGGGCTGCTGAACTTGATGGGCCGCTGGAGCTTGGAATCGCTGGGGTTGCTGCATCACAGGCTGCATGCACTGCATGGGCTGGGTGAGCTGCCGAGCTTGCTGGGCCACCGGGAGTTGCTGCATCATAGATTGCGCGCGCTCCTTAGGAGGGGTTGGATAGCATTTTTGGTTGTGTTGGGTGGGATGCTGAACTTTTTGAACTTGCTGGACCTGCTGAGTCGCTGGAGCTTGGAGTTGATGGCTTTGTTGCATCATGGGTTGCATGTTCCCCTTGAAAGTGGTGGGATAAACTGCTTGCATGTTTGGGGTGGGTTGCTGGACTTGTTGAGCCACTGCAGTTTGGAATTGCTGGTGTTGTTGCTGTTGCTGATACCGGACTTGCTGTCTGTACTGCATAATATTTTGATAGCACTGTGCAAACTGCTGTTGGTGGATCTTCCACTGCCGTTCGTGGACCTGTAGCCGCTGTTGATCATTAGGCTGTTGCTGTTCGAGGTAGTCCTTCTGCTGCTTGAGTTGAGCGTTGTGTTGCTGAAGTCGCTCCCATTCCATACGAAGACACTGCTCTCGGGATTGAAGCTGTTGTTGTTGGCTGGGATTGGCCACTGGCGTGCGAGTCACTCCGGTCACTGGAGTCACCGGGGCTGGGAAACGAGCCAGTGGTGCAGACATTGGTGTGATTGGGGCAGGCGCAATTTTCTGAAGAGGTGTGGCTGGGGCTACAGTCGTCTTGCCCTTCGCCTTGCGTGGGGTGCTTTGCGCCTTTGGGGATACAGTCGTCTTGCCCTTCGCCTTAGGTGGGGTGCTTTGCTCCTTTGGGGCTACAGTCGTCTTGCCTTTCGCCTTGCGTGGGGTGCTTTGCGCCTTTGTCTTCTTCTGTGTATTGTGTAGCTCGTCATCTTCCTTGTTCTTGGGGGCTTGCTTGGCTCTCTGCTTGGGCTGTCGCTTAGCAGGTTGAGAGCGCGATTTGCCTTCTGACAAGGTAATAACCTTGCCCAGACCAGTTGCTGAGCTGGAGATGGGAGAAGCGACTTGGGTAGCTGGCTCAATAGTGATCGGAGCGAATTGAGTGACTGTAGTAACGCGGGTAACTGGAACACCAGTAGAGATAGTGGTTTGAATGGGTGGATCAATGGTGACCGGAGCGCGTTGGGTGACTGTAGTAGAAGCCTGAGTGACAGGAGCAACTTTAACAGATGTACCAATGCTGGTCGAAGCATGTTGGGGGACTGGAGCAGCTGTGGCGGGAGTAACTTGAACGACTGCAAGAGGAGGACCCAGTTCGGCGTTTTCAAGAGAGTTGAGCGTATCGAGCGGATAAACAGTACTTGATTGCTTAGCGCAAGTTCTCAGCGTGGCCACATCATCAGTCACAATGGGAGTAGACAATTCAGGGCCAAGCTCCAGGTGATCAAGAGTCGCTGGGCCAACGACAGGGTTCACACCGAATTCAGCAAAGGCGTGGTCAAAATCGTTCTCGCCTTCGAACTCATATCCTAGGAACACAAGTCAGTTCGATTCGGTGGTCCTAAATTAGGAGAGACAATTACCATTGAAACGAGCAAGTTCGCAGAGGGACATGCAGGAACCATCTTCGTAGTAAATTGACTCAGGAATTTTCCATTCGTCGAGGCCCAAAAGAGCCTTGGATGAATCTTCATCATAAGGCACTTCGGCAAGTGCGTCAAGAAAGAATTGGGTAGGCTCCATAACGAATGATGGGGTAAATGTGAATGATAATACAGGTGGTAGATTTTCAGAGACAAGGAAGGTACAGAAAAGAATTAAGATGAATGGAATGTGTCACTTGCTGCAGCAAGTGACACTCGAAGAGTAAGTGCTATGGAATAGCTAAATTTGTTTTGTAGTGAATGGATGGTAGTAGATGAGTAGTAGTGAATGGGTGGTAAAAAGAAAAAAGAGAATGCAACGAGTATGGGAGAAAAGAAAGAAGGAAAGAGAAAGAAGAAGGAAAGAGAAAGAAGAAGGAAGGAGCAGGGGGATTTTCTGGGGAATATATTGTATTCCTCAGGATTGAAGCTGTCGAGGGTAGGCGCCAAAGGGCAAAGGGCTAGGGTTCAGTCACTGATGCCCCCATCAACTCCCAACATAAATTCATCCGACCAGGTCCTGTGGTTCCTTCACTATTAACCTGGGATTGTTCACTCGGCCGTCCACTAGATTGTCCATTAGGAAGGACCATAACTGTATATCCGTCCCTTCCTTCCACAGCTTCTTTTCCTAAAGTGGCAACGGAAAGCGCAAACCACGATAAATTGCTGGCCTTGGTGCTTTGCCTGTTAGATAATGTCAGTTCCCAACCAGATTCTTCTAAAAGCCATGTTTCAAACTCACAAATTGAGGAACAGCTGCATAATCCAACGGGACGATATCAAGCCATGCCATTTTAAGCTTATCAAATCAGAGGCCTGGCTTTCATCTGCGTCTGGAATCGCATAACGACTCAGGTACGGATCGATGTCATCTTCCCCAGATAATCGCGGAGAACCCATCTGAACCATGGCAACCCATTCGGATAGGGAGCCACAGTGTTCCTGCAGATCACCTTCCGACATTTCTTCGAGTAATTTCCTGTTTTCAAGAAACGGCGGAGTGATTATTTGCTCGTGAACAATTTCCTGTGGCTCGCAGGTTATCCACTGTGGTTGAACCTTGTTGATCGGCTTGTTTCCTGCTCTGACTTTTAGCATATTGTCATTTCTTAAGTTCAGGAGCATGATAACCTTCATCCTGACCAGGGTTGGCTTCCAGGTCATGGAACAGCCAGGCCATTGATTGAGTCAAAACATTCGTGAATGCCCACACGATTCTTTCGAAGCCCTTTTTGCCATGTAGCATCGAGGGTAGCCGTAAGTTCAATTCTACCACTGACGACATGATTAGTAAAGATTCAGCCAGCCCATTTGCTCTGGTTGTACACACAGAATCTTTCTCTTGTATGTTTTCTGCCGCCACTGCGGAAAGGGTTGCCTGTGAGACCTGTTCGCTCATATATCTCCTTTCCTAGTTCCATTCGAAGTACACCTATTTCCATTTGAGTCAACTCTCGGTTCCGCAACGGCAAGACTCTTCCGGCCGTAGCTTCAGGAGAACGAACCATCTTGGAGTGTGAAGACATTATCAGAACCCGAGCGTCCTTCGGATATCATCAAGATATTTCCTATGTCCCAAGTCAGATTGCTGTCTTTGGTAAAACGGACTCTCTGGGCACAAAAGCTGCCTGATGCTTGTGCAACTGATATCCACTCAAATATGGGACGACTTTTGGATTGAATTGGAGGCACAAATACCTGACTTGATATATGTGTTGAAGAAATCATGCTCAAGCAGAGACAAAGGAGTCATGAATACTCGTGCATATTGAGGTTTTTCTAGTTTCATCTCGAGCGACGTCTTGATCTGTGAGTGAAAGTCCTCCGGCAAGATAACCTCGACCTATGCCCAACGATCAGTCAAATAACCTTTTAGCTCTCAAAGCAGGCCACGGGCCACATACCGAGTGTATAAATGCATGGTTTTGAATCGTTGAAAAGGGCGATCTCTTGCCCGGGATCTGTTTTGGGTCGATGAATGTCGGCAGTTGAGCGATGGTTGTGAAACACTTTTCACGACGCGATGCGTCGTCCACTTCGTCAAACATGGTGTTTCCGATGGCCTTCGAAGTTATGCTTAACGTTGACAATCGAAGCTCTTGAATTCTGAAGGGTCAATTTTTCAGCCGAAGGGTGAGGTTCGATTAAGCTCGGGCTTATCGGACCCACAAGGCTGCAGCTATCAAACGTTCCATACATATTCAGATGTTGAATTAATCTTGGGCAGTATTTAAACATGATTTAGGTAACCATATAGGAACATTATACAAGATCTAGATATATCGAGTCTGAATGGCATGTATCAATTCAAGTTAGAAGGTATCAATAAATATCAACAATCTCAATATTTCAACAAGTACACCTAGGTAATAGCTCAATGTAGCCTTGCACTTATGTCAGTTTGTAAGAGATATTTGAACCTGGAGCTCAGTTTCATTTCTTTCGTATCAGAATTTCGTTCAATGGCGCTTATTATGTGATGATATATATATAGAGGAAACAAAATATACTGTGAGTTATAATCATAATACATGAGCATTTGGAATACCTGTGGCATACATACCATACATATGTACAAAGTACGGCTCTGGGAAGAAACAAGATATATAGAGTAAGTCAAAAGTAAGCACTTATAATGTACCTATTTTAACAAGCAAGTTTATGTCTATGACATGGTTCCTGGTGGTTTTCCTTGATATGTGCTGTAAAACGTATTTCTTCCCCACAGGTGAGACACCGCGAGACTCAGCCAAATACAAAACTCACTGGACTTCCACTTATTTCTCTTTTCTAGCTCGATTTCTTTGCGAAAATTCTAGTGGCTGAATCGGAAGTTGGACACAAAATCCCAATCCAATATAGCAGATAACGTTTCGTGCCTAAGGCCACCCTCGTGATGGCGGCAACACCCGATAACGATTCCCCGGCAGTATCAGGCTACCCAAAGGCGGTATCTGAGTACTCTCCAATTCGGTCCGTCCATCGGACTTCGAATAGCATCAAGCCTAACCTGTTAGGTCCTATCGCTTCTACTTCTGCTACTGCTTTTGCCGCTGGTTCGAATGCAGGTGGATCTCCAGTCTCGCGCCAATTGCTAGAGGAGGAAGACGAACAGATGGCGCCCGCCTCGCGTCGCGAGCTCCTACACAAGGATCACTTTGCATTTGTGTTTGGGAGCGTGAAGACCCAAAGCTACTTAGATCCCGTTTCCAAAGGACCAGGCTCTCACACGTAAGGAAGTCTGGTTTTTGCGCCAGGGGTTATCGTTCATTGACTGACGGAACCACAGGATCCGCACTCTTGCTTGGAACCCCACGGGCCAACTGATTGCCACTGGCTCAGCAGATCGCACTCTACGAATCTGGAACCCTGAACGTCCTCATGTACGATACTCGACCGAATTGCGTGGCCACACAGCTGGTATTGAGAAGGCTCTTTTCAACCCAGTCCGCGATGCGGAGCTGGCCAGTTGCTCGGCCGATGGTACAGTGCGCTTCTGGGATGTCCGCTCCAAGACATGTGTGAGCCGTCTCGATGTCGGCGGCGAAGCATTTACACTCTCCTGGTCTGCTGATGGTAGCACAATGATCGTCGGCAAGAAGGTAATCATGCAGCGCTGCGACTCCGCAGACTTGATGTCTCTCGTGAGAAAGCCACTAACATATGATAAACAGGACGACACCTTAATCCCTGTCTCTGTTCAATTCCCCTCCTCTCCTACCGCCCACCCTGATGGCGTGAATTCTCTCAACCTACCCTCCTCTACACCCGGCGCAACCACATACACCGCCCTTGACCCTCACCCTCAGACCGTCCAAACAAATGCGACAACCTTCTCCTGGTGCATGCCGACACCCGAACGTCCGGAGCAACATGTATTCGTGACGACTGGCGAAGGCAAAGTCAAAATCATGTCCTACCCTTCCTTCGATATTATCCACACCCTCAACGCCCACACCTCGGCCTGCCTTTCAATTGCGCTTGCTCCGACGGGCAGATACCTCGCAGTCGGCGGGAGCGACGCTCTTATCTCCCTCTGGGACACAACTGATTGGATATGTCGTCGGACTTTGTCCAGCGAGAATGGCGGCGCTATCCGTGGCGTGAGCTGGAGCTTCGATGGCCGCTACATTGTTGGCGCATGCGACGAGCTTGGATGTGGTGGGAATGGACTAGAGATTTTCCACGCTGAGTCTGGTGATAGCATCTATACAATTCCTACTGCCGGCATCAATGCTGGTGTATCTGCTGTTGCGTGGCATCCCTCTCGCTACTGGCTGGCTTACTCGACTACCACTGATGGACCTGGTAGCTCCAGCGCCGGAGGCTTGAAGATTGTCGGTGCTGCTGGTGGTGGCCTGTAACCTCTAGCATTTTATTGTACTTACGCTTTTTCGGCACGCTTTTTTTTTTTTCTGGCCTCGCCTGTATGATCTCGATTATTGCACGAATGGACGTATTGAAGAAATGCCAAAGGAGTACGATCAATAGAGTTCTTAGCATTTTTATGTAATATTGTAGTATTTATTTATTAACATAAATCGACAGGACACAGATACACTGATTGTCACCGTATAAGCTATCCAAGAGTGAAGAGTTCCGCCACAAAGAGACCGTTTATTCGTTCATCATTATTTCATTCAACAGCAGAGCTTAATGTAAGCTTATCAGGCTGCCACTTTACTAGAACATCCCGAGGTCGTACCAAGAAGAGAATTGCAAAGAAATTGCATTCCCGTGGTTGTCAAATCAACCTCGGGGAAAGAAGGTGCTCAGTCCCAGATATCGTAATAAGCGACTCCAATGTTTGGAACTAGGAGACCGATGCCTCACGTAGATCAACCTGAGCCTGAGGAGGGAGAGGAAGAACGAAAGCAAAAGAAAAGTATCCAATACGACGACGTGTTTCGAGTCGCATGTGAGATCCCCAGCCAGGATTGATAGAGGTGTCGATAGGTCGTCCTAATCAGTGAAATCATAGGATCTCGGTCTGAGAACACAAGGCCCCAATGTCATCTGTTTGGCGGCAAGATGAGAGATTTTATTTATTGTGACAATATCAAGCTTAATGAGTTGTTGACATCGGAGATGTTCAACCAAGACCCTTTCATGGGAAAGTATGTTCACGACGGCCGCCAGTTATCCCAGCCAGTGTTGGTCCCGTTTTCACCCTGGATTTGGATATTCAACATCTGAGCCCATTGAGATTCACTGAAAGTCTCCATGTTTAGATTGCTAAGGTCTTCATTGCGCGCGTCTGGATTTGGGGTTGGAAGGTCCCACGCAGAGGGCACAGAAAAGATTCCCGACGCCTCTGCGGGAATTGATGGGCTATTAGAGCTGCTTTGATAAAACCGACCAGCCAGAGAGCCCAAATCAATGGACTGCGGGTTTGTATTTCCCTGTGGCATGAGGTTTGAATTGACTTTATCAAAGGACGGGGCTGACCCCTGACTCGGATATACCGAGTTCGTCTTTTGATGTTTGTTTCCGGGTGGTGGATCGTCAGCACCGTTCATTGAATAGGACGTGTTCGAGGATGAATTCAAGGTCGAGGGGGTGGGATGGTCTGATGGTGGATTGTTTCTGTCGCTGAGATTGCCGCAGTCAGCTGGAAAGTCCATGTCCATATCGATAATGGCGCCTGCTGATCCCGCTTGATCCATTTTTGGACCTGTCGCCTGAGTGGAAGCTCCGAAAAAATGATGCATATCATCGCTGTTAAAGACTGATCCCGAGGTGGGCTGGGTCGTTGAGTCCCTATTTCGGTTGGGGAGGCACGTTGTCGAACTGGCAGGCATAGGATGTTGATTGCCACCGCGATTTGTACTATATTGCAAAGACTCATCCTTCCCGGTCCCTTGTGTTTGGCGGATCTGGTATAAAGGAGCACAATCGACATTATTTTGGCAGTGTGATTGCTAGAGAAAATGGGATTAGCTTCCATTGGTCCTTGGGTAACAAGCCAGAGAAACGTACTACCATCGAACTTACTGCAGATATGTTGGTTTTCTGTCTATCGTCTAAAGCACGAATACCAGTTCCATCAAGATCAACATCCAATTGAACAAGAAAGGACTCGGTCAGAGGGTTTTGTGTTCTTCATAGCGTTCAAAGCGGAGATGAGGAATTGCAACGAGGACTGAACACTCGAATCCTCTGGTCGGGATTTGAGATACTGTACAAAGACACGAGCAGCAATATAGAGACAAAATGACATGAAAGGATTTAGCTGCAAGGTGTTAGTATAAATGTTTTTGGGCAAAAAAGCTTGATAGAAACTCACATTCGTCAAATCAACGTGGCTAATCATCTTCATAGTACTCGAAATCTGGTTCGCGGCGACAAGGCATCTGCGCTTGCTTTCGGTCGTAATCTGACTTGGCATCTTGTTCTTTTCAGCCTTGAATATTGCCGCTTGGTGAAGACATATGGTTGAAGTATGGATGCTCATGTTGGCGAAAATGACATTCACGTCTGACACGCCAGTTGGAAGTCGAAGATGATCAGGCAACGAGAGCGAAATATGCAGAAGAATATTATCATGACTTCTGTGGCGCTTCCAAAAATCCCCATTGAGGTCATGATCGTTGTCTTGCGGCTGAGGTCGATGGATATGTACGAGATTACGACCGAAAAGACTTGCCAAAACCACCACGCATGCAAAAGGGGATAGTGTAGAAACACCATCTCCGGTGATGATATCGTTCAGATGAAGTGTTCGTTGTGGCTTGCTCTTGGTAAAAGATTCTTCGGATGCAGGGAGGTTGCTCATGATCTGATTGTTGTCAGCCTATCGCCCTCTGGGCCGTGAAGAGGGTGCACCGGAACAGATACTGACATCGTTCTCATCAATAAGAATGGGCCAACCAGTTCCAACGCTCGCATATCTATCTGTGGCAAATGCGCCCCAGAAGACTCTCCTACGTTCTTCGCGCTCTGTCCAATCTCTCGGTGGTAAAATGGTTTGTTTGACATCGAGAGCAACACCATCAAGCCGATTCAATCCCAGCATCAATGCTAGTCTTGCAGCTTTACCGACGCTCAGCCAGGCTCGTGGGAAGAAGATCATCCGGAATTCGTATGTCCCGATGAATATCCATGTTTGGCAATGTGCTAAACTGACGATGTTCTCTCCGAATCCTTTCATTTCGTCCACCTCAGCATACTTGCGTGCCCGCTGGTAAAAATGATTATGTAGAAAGAAGTATTTGTCACTGACAGATGCGGCATTGCACCACATAATGTACCGCAGGCAGATCGGTGGTCGCATATTAGGAGCGAGAGTCAGGGCTGCAAAGTAACGGGGCCGGTGGATGATGGGCATGATTGGATAGATTTTCTCAAAGAAAAGAGCTTCGCTAGACGGCACCGTTGTATTAGAGAGTAATTCAAGGAAAAAGCCGCATGGAAGACATACAGCTCATCGATCACATCCTGTGAAGGAAGGGGCTCCTCCAGTCCTAAACTAATCAAGTCCCATTGAGTGTTGCCGCCACCCGGGGTGCTGGACAGCGGGGGATATAACATAGGACTTGGCTGACCTGCGCCGGGGGCATTCATAGCTGAAAACGAGTTATCTATGTTACATCCAATGCCTCCCAGCCCTCCTAGGTCCGAGAGGTCAGGCAAATCCAGTATAGATTCATCAGCGATGGGTGCTGTGAATGCATTCTCCAATGGTTGATGCGGGGAGGTTCGTTGGGTGGATTCCGGATCCTGGCCTTTGAGCAGGGTCTCTACTTGAGCTGACACAGTCATGATTATTAGCGATATGGCTCACTGTCAACACAGCATTTGTGACCATTGTTCTCAGCGAGTTCATACCTAATCGCGCTTCAAGCTGCTTGACATATCCCCGCTTTGGACCACTCTTCTTGCGCACTTCATCATAAGAGCATTCATGTCCCAGACGTGAACAAGTCCCACAGCTTGGTCGTCTCCCATCACACCTTAGTTTCCTCCTACGGCAGACAACACATGCGATGCGCTTGGGGCGGGGAACGAAGTTGCTTTCTCCTGTGCTAGTGCTTTCGGCGGCGCCGCCACTTTCAACGGACAAGAATTCCATTTGAGACGGGTCTGATTCTGTGGAATACTGCGACGATGTGGGTCCAAAATTGGACGGCGGAAGTGCCGCCATGGCGGGCTTGAGCAGACGATGATGTTACGATGCAGTGGCTGAGTAATTCAAGTGGATGGAATGATCTTGGACAACTCTGGTTTGGCTGCACAAAACCTTTGGGTAGAATGACTCGTGTAGAATAAACCGAGGTGTCAATAAGCCAGGAACATCCAAGTGTTCGCCGCCGAGATGGGAGATGTGAAAAGTAAAGTTCTATGGATGACGGTGGAAGTTCGTATCAGCAGAGGCTAAGTGTGTCCACCCTAACGGGGCCTATCTTTATGAAGAGTTAGATCAAAGAACCCCTATTTTTCATTTCGATCGGATTCTACTGATAACTATACGAAAGTCCTGAATTTCCATTTTATGATCCCCTGCAGGAGGAGCGTTGACAGGTGCGCTCGGGCGAAGGGCCACGCACCAGCAATGTTGCCTGGAGGCTTGGCGCAGATCTACTCGGTACAATACATACATACCATACCTATCATCGCATGTGGGATGCCAATCAGAGTACTCCGTAAAGAGTACATTATATAAGATTTTATGTGTATCTATCGTGTGCGAAGAGTTAAAATCATTACTGTCGATACAAGTTTATAAATCTATTTTCTTTCGCTTTGAATGTATATGGCCTCGAGCCATCGTACTGTACAGTGCCCATTGCCCGAGTTTCAGTCAGATGGCAGATGCGTAAAACAAAAATCCCCAGGAAATAGTGCGGAGTAGAAGAAACGACGAGACATTTAGTGTGTCAACAAACAGGAAAAGATATCGTACAGTCATCCTCTGCGCGGTAGGGATGAGGTATAGGGTGAGGAAACACAAATGGTTCAGAGACAAAGCAGAGCTGAAATACCCACTTGGGCAAAACAGCATCATCTCTAGTTGTATCCACGACGGCGCTTTCCTTGGTTTCGAGGTCTAGAATGAACAACAGCCTTGTTGATCTTCCACTTCGGGCGGGTCTTGTAGCCGGATTTGGTCTGGGAGTGAAAACGAAGAATCAGTTCCATGGAAGTTCAAAAGGTGCAAAATAAAAGGATATACATACCGGAATACCCCAAGGACTCTTCGGGTCAACGTTACCCTTAGATTTACCTCGTCCACCACCGTGAGGATGGTCCATGGCGTTCATGGCCAAACCACGCACCGTCGGACGAATGTTGAGCCAACGTGAGCGGCCAGCCTTTCCGAGCTGGGTGTATTGGTAGTTCGGGTTGCTGGTAATACCAACGGTAGCACAGCAGTCCTTGTGAATGAGCCGAACCTCACCACTTGAGAGACGGACAGTAATGTGCTGGGCCAGACGCTCCTGCTTCTGCTGCTCACGCTGCGACAAGGGCTTCTTTTCGGCCTCGGGCTGTTCATCTTGAATCGTTTGCTGGCGCGAATCGCTTCCCTTTGCCACAACCGTAGCATATGTTCCAGCACTGCGACACAGCTGACCACCCTTACCGGGTCGCAACCCCACGTTGAAGACCAAAGTTCCCACCGGAACCATGTGTAACGGCAGACAGTTTCCTCTCCAAGCGGTTCTGGCTGCGAGCACACCAGGATCGACAGTGCTGCCCATACTCTTCCACAGATCTTCAGGAATTCCAGACATATAACTCTGGACCACGTCGCCGGCGCGCATCCCATCCGCTGCGAGAATGTAGCTCAACTTGCCGGTCTCCTTACTAGCAGTCAAAGCGATGTGTGCAGTGCGCCCGGGATCATACTCGATACGCTCCACTGTGTGCGGCCCCGGATCCATGCGCAGAAAATCGATTGTCCGAATTCGACGCTTGGCACCACCTCCATGATGGCGGACAGTGACTCGGCCAGAGTTGTTTCGACCACCCTTGGCGTGACCACGTTTGGGGAACGTTAATTTGTGCACTGGACGGCCTTTCCACAGATGGTCGTTCACAGGACGCCGCAGATGTCTCACACCGGGGGTGCGCGGAGTGTAGGTACGCAGCTGAATGCCAGAAGCATCACGGCTCGGGGGAGGAGCGAATGAGACGTTCGGATCGATAAAGGTATTCACTGGTGTTTCGATAGGCTTGGGCTTGTTCTTCTCAATCTCATTCACAATTGTCGAATAACCACGACCTGGCAAAGGCAGAGAGGGTAGACACCTAAAGGGTAGCCGAATGCCCCGTAGGGCAATTCGGGGTTGGAGCATTGCTGCCAAAGGAAGGGAGGGAGGGGAAGGCGGAGTTTTCCAAGGGATCAATTGAACAAAATAGCGATTGATGAAAGCCAAATTGTCAATGGAGCGGAGCAACGAAGATTCAGCAGCTCCTCTCCTCTGCTTTGTAGATACGCACCTGACTCTCCACAGAAACAAAAAGTTCGCTGTCCACGTGACCTTCCTCCTGCACCGCCTCTTCCACCGCCACAACCTATCAAATGTGGCAGATATACGATCACAGGAATCTCAATTCGACTGCCTTATGTCAGATCTGGTACACGTGATTTCTTTGTTACAACATTCGATACCTTGTACGAAACGAAACGTCACTGTTGTCGGAGCAACCAGTTTATTTACCCATTGCCTTATTAACGCGTATCTCCCTTCATTGCTGGATCTACTTTTCTGAACCTATCCTAACACATCTTTTTCTTATTCTATTCTGTTCTTCATTGCTCAGCTCAATTCATCATTTTAATAATTTTACCAAAAAAGGGCTCGAACGTCAATTGAGTGATCCACGCGACTGGCTGAGTGGGGCTACTTGTTTTCCACGCTAAGCACAATACTAGGGCCAAACATCGCCTTTTACCCTCAAGCTCTCTTCCTTTTCCCTCATCATTCCAGTTAAAGCTGCCCTTCCAACTCCCCCCCCACTCCCCAACTAACAAATTATCGCGTGCGGATTCCTGTTGTACAGTGTCCCCAGATCATTTCTGTATCATTTGACATCTTTTCCACCCGATTCGCGCGCCATTTGATCTTCGGAATCAGGGTTCTGCGCGGTCTTGATACACATCAACATAGTCTTCTTTGAACCGTAAACATCGACTCATATCATCTCCAACTGTCTGAAAGCTACACCTGCCTACTGGCACTGTAGTCTCTGCAGAATAACAGCATTTTCACGCGTGGTACGTGCGCCTTGTCCTCAACCCTCTGGTAGGGGGGTCCCCACCGAGGTAATCTCGCATGGAATGCTGACCTGATTTCCTGTGCAGGACAAGAATCATTATATTCCTGTCCCCTTTCTTTCCTTCCTACGCGTCGCTTCCCTTTTATTTTCTTCACAATGCCTCAGGTGAGCAATACTTCACTGTGCCAAAAACACGCGTTTGATATCTTGTCACGGGATATCAGATCCATAGCCTCGAGATCTAGATATATCCTATGATCTTAGTGGACTAATCACTGACTCCACTACAGGCCCGCAGCCTTCGTACCAGAGGCACGATGAACGAGAACGATGAGAACGCTCCGTCAGCGCGTGTGACGCGGGCCAAGACAGCCGCCCTCAATACCGATGTCTCTGCCGCTGGAGCCAAGAAAACCCTGCAGACCAAGCGAACCACATCAACCGCCACGGCTAATGGAACCCAACGTCCCCGTGCTGCCCTCGGTGATGTCAGCAATGTCAACAAGACGGAAGGTGTTGAGATGAAAGCTGGAAAGAAACCGGCCGCTGTCAAGGCTGGTTTGACCTCCAAGGCAACTGTCCAGACCGGAGGTGTTCAGAAGCTCAGCCGCACCAACTCCTCACGAACTGCAACACGGTCTGCCCTCCAACCCCGCGACTCGAACAAGAAACCTGCTCCCAACGCCCACAAGCGTCCGTCGCTTAAAGATACATCCATCCAGACAGGGGAGCCTCCCCGCAAGAAGCCTGAGCTTGGGCGAAAATCCCCAGCTACTGGGATAGTGGAGGAGCCAGCAGTGAAACAGCCAGAGATTAGCGTGAAGGATGCTCTAAATCACGCTGTGCAGGATCTGGACACTGAGGACTTGGATGACCCATTAATGGCCGCCGAATATGTCGTTGAAATCTTCGAGTATCTCAAGGACCTTGAGATTGTTACTCTGCCTAACCCTGATTACATCGACCACCAGCCCGACCTGGAATGGAAGATGCGTGGGATCCTCGTCGACTGGCTTATCGAAGTGCATACCCGTTTCCGTCTCCTCCCTGAGACCCTGTTCCTTGCTGTCAACATTATCGATCGCTTCCTGTCAGCTGAAGTTGTCGCCCTTGATCGTCTTCAGCTTGTTGGTGTTACCGCCATGTTCATTGCATCCAAGTATGAGGAGGTGCTCTCCCCTCACGTCGCCAACTTCAGCCATGTCGCCGATGAGACCTTCTCTGACAAGGAGATTCTCGATGCCGAACGTCACGTCCTCGCAACCCTCGAGTACAACATGAGCTTCCCCAACCCCATGAACTTCCTGCGACGCATCTCCAAGGCCGATAACTATGATATCCAAACCCGCACTCTGGGCAAGTACTTGATGGAGATCAGTCTCCTTGATCACCGTTTCATGGGCTTCCCCCAAAGTCACATCTCTGCCGCAGCCATGTACCTTGCACGTCTCATTCTCGAGCGTGGACCGTGGGTATGTTATATTGCGTTTCGCTTGTTCCACGCATCTCAACTAACTTATCATAGGATGCGACTCTCGCTCACTACTCTGGATATACTGAAGAGGAGATCGAGCCTGTCTTCCAGTTGATGGTTGACTATCTCCACCGCCCTGTCTCTCATGAAGCCTTCTTTAAGAAATATGCCAGCAAGAAATTCCTGAAGGGTAAGCGTCATTGATAATTCTCTTGTCTCCCAGGATGACGTACTAACAAGTCTTCCAGCTTCTATCTTGACTCGCCAATGGGCCAAGAAGTATCACCACCTGTATGTCGACAGCTCCGAACAGAGCAGTTACGCCAAGGATGAACAGTAATTGTACTATTTACGATGTCATGCTACCCCTGTCTCGCCAACGTCGATGCCTTTCATGACTCCCTAAGGCCCTTGCGACGACTTGATCAGGGAAATAGAATTCCTACATATCTTGGCATTTCATTGTGCTGGTATTCACTACCTTTTTGCATATTCTTACGACGACTTGATTGAATTCCTGCGCTTTCCGCATTTGTCTTCTGTGATGGGGTGTTAGGCGCTCGGCCCTGTGTGCTATTGTTTTCTTCTTTTACCCCTACATCTTCAACCTCGGCTTGCTTGTTTTCCGTGCATGAGCATCTGTCTCCCGCCTGCCTTGATATCTTTTACATTCTCATCGATCGTGTTGCAGGCGTCGAGATATATTCTTCTCTTCCTTCAAATCACAATTTTACCTTGTTTCATCCTGGTTCGCCTTTTAGGTCGCACGGTGCAGTGTTATCCTCTTGGGTCACTTTTCTTTTTGTTTATCATGCAAGTTCCGAAGGCTTGCACGTTTGCGTGGCATTGCGGATTGGAAATCTTTTGTGGGGCCAAGGTGGCTATGGTTTTTTTCTTTTTCTTTGTTTTGTTTCTCAGGTGTTTCTCAATTCATCAGCTGGAAGATTCAATTGGTTACTGGATCTGAGTCTTCCAGGCAAGCCAGATTGATATCAGATAGATGGACGGTTGAGGAGGTAATCAGTGACAAGTTGGACCGCTTTTGTTTTGTTCAAAATAGTTGGATTTCTAACACTGGATCCGTGTGTATGGCGTGCTTATTGAAACCATTTCTTCTTTGATTCTTTTTGGGTATACCTGGGGTTGGTTGTAGATGCGTCCAATTAAGCTCATGCATAGCCGAGGTTGGTCCAAGGTGGTTCCAAGGTCAGTCCCGGTGAGCCGCTGAATCACCTTCGGATCAACCCTCGTTTTATTTACTAGTTGCATCCATCTTTTGGAACTGATACTGAACCAGGTTTAAAACATACTCGGACTATATACCTTACTCTATCCCGTCATGGATTCTACTGCACCCCCGCCATGCCCATTCTGCAGCATTGCCTCATCATGTCCCCCAACCCCCTTCAATGACCCTGGGTCCAATCCAGCTTCAACCGCTCCGGATTCAGGTCCTATGTCCCACGTCATCCTCTCCACCGAGCATGTTCTTGCCTTCTTGGACATTATGCCGCTTACCCGCGGTCATGTCCTTGTAGCACCAAGAAACCATTACAGGTTGCTGGGAGACATGGGCGTCCAAGCGGGACAGGAGGTATGTAGTTATTTTCCATCAGTTGATCTACAAATGTTCCAAAAATGCTTTTTTGCTGATCCTTGTCTCTGATTTGATACATAGATGGGGAAATGGCTGCCCATTCTCTCCAGAGTTGTAACGAAGACTGTGTTTGGCGATGATCCCGATAGACATTGGAATGTTGTGCAGAACAACGGTATGTCCTGTCTTTGTTTTTCTCCATTTCCCCCTTGATCCTTAATGAATTTCAATCCGGAGTGTTTCGACTTTCTATCTATGCGGTTATACATACCAATATTGGCATCCAAGGAGGTTAAACCCCTCTGACCGATATTTTATTTCATTTGTCACTAAACCAAACGGCATCAATTTCCATAAATCATCTTGTTATTACATGTCTATAGAAGAAGAAAAACAAACATCTATCTAACTGAGCGACAGGCGAAAGAGCAGCACAGGTAGTACCCCACGTCCATTTCCACATCATCCCCCGCCCTGCTCATGGAGCCAACCAAAGAACAAGCTTTGCTATGTTTGGCCGTGGGCAGAGAGAGGAGCTCGACGATGATGAGGCTGAGGCCTTGGCTCGGGAGTTGAGACTTGAGTTGGCCGAGGAAGTCAAACGAATTCATAGGGACGAGGGTGTGGACTTGGCTGCGGACTTGGTTTCAGAAGGAAGCCAGCGAGGAAAGCTGTGATAGTCTCTTCTGTTATTGCATCTGACCATTGGTCTTATCTTCGGGTGATTCGCTGTACATAGGTATTTCTGTTACGCAGTTTTGCAAGCCTCCGAGCTGAAGGGTAGGCTAGATAGCTTTCTATCTGATCTGATTTGCTATGTCGAGGTTCTTATTCTGTCTCTTTTTGGTCCTTCTCAGCCCTAGTGCCGTGGCCTCTGAGCATATGCTGGTTCAACGAGTTAGCCAATTATTGAGCCACCAGCCCACAGATAATACGTACCACTCGCCGGAATGCATTAAGATCATCTGCAGTAGTACCCTGGTCGTCAATCTTTTTCCGGGCTAGTGTGATATCCGACAATTGTCCCTCGGGCAGACGGCGGTAGGTTATAAGTCGGCGAGACCCTATAACACACAAAATCAGCCAATCCTTTTCAATATCACAGTTATATGACACCGCTTGTCACTTACAGGTGTTGAAGGACTGAGTAGAGATGCTGACAATCTCAAGATTCTGATGCATGGGAACAGGGAACTCGATTTTCTCGTCGTTTGTTGTGGGCATCCACATTGACAAACGGCCATTGGGAACCAAGGAGTGAACTGCAAAATTGAGAACGTCGTTCTGCAAAGCCTCGAAGCCATAAGGCTTTTTGGGAGGAACAAAACCAGGTCGGCTATAGGTCAAAGTCAGTATTATAGGTCGGCGGGGGTGGGAGCAAAATAAAACATACAGATAAGCAGGAATGCCATCAATGATCACATTCACTGCGGGCTTTCCCCGGCGATTTCCTAGAACCCGAAGCCCTTCACGCACACCGTATGGCGGATCGCAGACAATACCATCAAGAACAGCAGTTCTCCGCAGTGGCGTGTTGGTAAGATCAGAAGTGAGCGTATCCATAAATTTACTCTTGAGCCCATATTGCTCGAAATTCTCGAGTATTCCCAGTTTTCCACCCTCTTTGCCACGGAAACTGCGGCCATCAATGTCTGCGCCCAGGGTCAGAGCTCCAAAATGCGAAGCGGCAACTATGAAACTTCCAGTTCCAACAAACGGATCGAAGAACAGTTTTCCAGGTGCTGCAAGAGCCATGTTTGCCGTAATGAGACTCAACTCCGCATCCATAGAAGTCGTGCTAATATAACGACGCTTCTTGAGATCGTATTTGACCACATTCTCGCGAGAGCTGTCGGCAATCTTGCGACTGAGGTAAATCTTCCGCGGCTCTTTTGTTCGCGTAACGCCCAGTGCAGAGACTTCAACGTCATCGATATATTCTTCCATCACGAAAAACTCTTCATCGGGGTTTGTTAGCCGGATCGGGCCTTTGAACCCCATATATTGGAATGATCGCATGATCTCTCCTTTCTCAACTTTGGTGCGCGTTCCTGCAAAGTAGTCAATCGTGAATTTCCATGTGACAGCATTGTAGTCGTTCCAGCGATGCTGGGTTCGTCGACAGACATCCGCATGTAACTCTTCATAATTGGTGCCTTCGCCCCATAGCTCGAAGATATCCTTGACCAGGATACTGCGCTTGGCAACTGCCCGTGCTGCAGCTTCGTCTGGTAGTCTTATGACACAATATGGTGACTAGGTATGTCAGTCAAGTTTCTGCAAGTTGAGGACGATCGTGCAAGGATACAGAGAGAAAGAGTGTCATCATTGTGGATCAATGATCCGGGAATGATCATGGCGCCTCCTAATGGATGAAAAGGGGATCATACATATTCACAGTAGGTGATAATTTCAAGGTCAACTCCTGCGAGTGTGGCACAGGCTTGGAGTTCCGGCCGTCGGAAGGTCTCATGGAGTTGGGCGAACCGAACCAGATAATCCATGATGAGAGGGATATCTGTCTATTCTTATTTTTTAAGAGTTTCTCTTATGGCAGTGGAAGTTTAGCAATTCGTCGCTGCTTTCAAGGCGGGGGGTTGTTGCGGGTTGAGTTTTTTTTTTTTTTTTTCTCGGGTCTTCAGAAATATACTACATCGTTCAACCAAGTAGGACTTCTAGATTGATATCACTAAAAATATATAAAATCCGAATTTATTTTCCAATTTAGCACAAAATAAGCCCTAAAACCTTGGAATCTGATTAAAATCATTTAATTATAATAAGCTATAGAATTGAAGAACATAAGTGTACGGCATCAAGAGAAGATTTGAGCAAAGATTTGCAGAACGAAACGATTGAACTAGATCTACCCAGGTATGAATGATATAATCGCATAAGAAATCATCAGGCCAAGACTACCTAGACTATGAACAGAAACCCGAAGATACGCCCTCCCTTAAGACAGAAGCAAGACATGCCCAAAACTCCGCCCCTATGCACCGACTACCTTGAAAACATGTCGTGATTCATATCCCTCCACAGAGGTAATATCAACCTTCTCATCGGCTGGTATCATATGATGTTTCAGATCCCAACCAGCCCGACGAGAAAGTTCTGATACCACCACATCACAGTCACCCAGGAGATCAATATCGAACTCGGTATGGGATACCGGCTACACGTCATCGTCAGTATGATACAGTGCCAATGTTTTTAGCTTGACTTACAGTGCGCGATATGTAGATCTGCGGGACGTGGCGAGGGAGGATCCCTGGTACCTCAGCTACAGGGGCTACCTTCAACGAGGTTCCGATCACAATGACTAGGTCTGCTTGTTCCCGATCTTGGTGAAGTAGACGTTCGCCAAATTCATCGGGCAAATCTTCCCCAAAGAACGTGATATCAGGCTGCATTGTTTTTTTAGTATGGAAGAAAGTAGGCAAGGCACCGAACGATCACTAACCTTCATCACTCCAGGAGTCGGGATTTCATAGTCGTCCTCATCTGAACTATCATCGGAGACCTTGCGGTCTTTCTGTTGACCATTGGAACTTCGTTTGCGCTTAAGACCTTGCGGCTTTAGTTCTTCTTCTGCGATTTTCTCCTTACATGCGGTGCAGTGGGGGATTTTCCCTGCCCTGATTTCATCGAAGATCGCGTCGCCAGGGACATGGAACCTACACTTCACGCAGGTGGCCGTCGCAAAGGATCCATGGCATTGCACAATTTTTTCCGGGAGTACACCTGCATTTGCTTCGATGTTATCGATATTCTGCGTGTAGTTGGTCAACAGCTTCCCCTTGTCTTGTAGAAGCCGAATGAACCCATGGGTGGGCGACCATTTCTTTTCCGTCGGGAGAATATCCTTGGCAATAGAGAAAAAAACGCTCGGATCCTCCCTGAAGACATGGATATCAAAGACTTCCTGTGGATCGCTCAGGCCCAGATGCGCCAGTTTTGAGTAGAGACCAGTATCTTTAGAACGGAAATCGGGGATACCCAGGCTTGTCGAGATCTGATGAATTACCGGTTAGCAATTAGGGACTAGGGATGTTTAGGATACAGTTTAATATGAACATACACCTGCACCTGTCAGAACTATGATGTTCCGAGACTCGCGAAGGAGCCGAACAGCATCGTCGATGGTGTTGTACTGGGGAAGCTTAGGCCTCCGGGAGAACTCGCGCGAGATCGCGATGGCCAGAAGAGAATGATAAGACTCATCTGGCGCCCCATCGAGGAATGCTGGGGGCGCGATTCCAAATGCCGTGCACAGCTTTTTAGCCGTAACGGTTTCGCGGAGGATGGTCTCTTCCACGAACGCTGCCTTACCAATCGCATGTAGACGCTGTCGATATGCAGTCGCCTCTTCTAGAGTACAGGCACCGGGAACTGCGACGGAAAAGCGCGCACATTAGCCAATGTTCGTTCTGACCTCCGAGAGCGGGGGTGTCCGGGGTAAAAGGTGAGGGTGGATATAGTTACATACCGAGCCCGTCGCGGATCTGGTCATCGCGTAGGAACTGGATCGCCTCATCGCAGTTAGAAAGACTATCCCATCCATCGGAATCATCACTGTCCGTCTCTAAATCCGACGAGATCTCAAGTGCGAGGTCCGGCGCGTCGTCCTCCATGGTGTACTGTTCCTCCATATCCACAGCCTCCACTTCGACTACGGAGGTCTTTAACGAAGCCTCTCCCTTTGGGGCTGGTACCAAATCCATTTTGCAGGAGTTTGAGATGCCAGCCACGGAGATAAACTCTTTCGCTCGCGCTTGAAGTCTGCTCTGGTAAAAATTCGGGCATCTGCCTCACCGGAGGCAACTTAATCCGGAACCGATGAATGAATTGGCAGTGGCGATATCAAAGAAGTTTTGGTTTGTGGTTCAGGGGGTCAATGATGAAAAGAAGAGATAGTGGGGGGAGGGGGAAGGTGAAAGAAACTACTTCTAGTGGTATCAAACAAATCAATGAACATGTACATCATCTCATGTGGTCGTCACTTTTGGTATCTATGAATCTGCCATCTCATCGTCGGAGTCACCTTCAATCTCCGCATCCGAATCCTCGCCTTCTCCCTCTCCTTCAGCTTCACTCTCATCATCTTCTCCAATTTCTTTGTTCATTTCCTGTACAAGCTCCAAGGCATGATCGCGGAGTCGGTCATCCTCGTACTGAAGGATATTGTAGAGCTTTAAGCTTTGTTTGAGCCATTCGCGACTAGCCTCTAGTGATGCATGTCGCGGGGACTCGGCGAGCTCATCAGCGGTCGCATCCTTAGGTGCCTGTCGCTTTTCTGCCAGCAGGAAGAGACACCAGCCTCCGAGATACCAGGCCTCTACACTTTGATCATCCTCTAGAATCAAGCGTTCGAGGACTTCCAGAGCCTCGAGCTCCATGTTCACTTCCATCAGGAGTCGCGCAAGACTGATGCGCACCGCAAAATCGGGAATTTTAAGATCTTCTGGGGCCAGGTCCTTCCAGAAACTCATACTGCGGGTGAGCGCGGCTTGAGCATCTTCGGTGCGCAGTTGTGAAATCCGGATGGAGGCGAGGGTCTGTAGTACCTCTGGTGCTTCGGGTGTGACAAGGAGGGCCTCCGTAATAAGTGCTTCACACCGAGCTTCGGCATCCTCTTCCCAGCTGAGCGGATATGTTAGCGTTGGTCCGCATAAAATCTAGAATATAGAGAAACTCACGAAAGATCAGTCATGTAGGTTTCAGCGACGGCGCAGAGTGCGTTAGACAGCTTGGCTTTCTTCTGTTCAATATCGGCGATCTGCTCTGGTGATGTTTTCCCCTCAAGTGACTGAATAATCTGTCTGAGGGACGCCACACCCATCTCGAACCACAGGACGCTGTCCTTTCCACCTTGCTCACTCAATTGTGCAAGCCATAGGAACTTCTCAGCTCCTCCACCCTGGGATTCCGGCACAGAGCCATTTTGATCGAGTTGGACAGCCTGAAGGAAGCAGTTTCTAGCGGTATCGATGTCGCCTAGTTCAACATTGATTTCTCCGAGCAGGTTGATGGCGGGGAGCTGTGCAATAGTGTTTTCAGCAGTCAAATCTAGAGCCTGTTGTGCAACCGCGAGTGCCTCATCGGCTCGACCAGTTTGTAGGAGGATTGTGGCTTGGTCGAGTAACGTCGAGGGATCTTGAGTCATTTTCCCTTTCGAGATCGAGCCACCAGGGCCGAGGACGGACTTTTCGCGGGGCTTGGATGACTTTTTCTTTTGCGGTCTGGGCTTTCCCATGGCAGGATGCAGCAAAATTCAGTAAAAAACCGTGATGCCGTCGACTATAATATTAAGCAGAATGATTGACAATTGTAACCTGAGTACCAGGGAGAAGTAAAAAAAGTGAAGCTCCGCAGCCAAAATTTTGGAGTGTTTGACGGGTTTGCATGTGGGACCGCGTTGCTTTTAGTCTCCTCCAGGGCTAGAAGCGGGTCTCCATTGGAAGTGTAGTTCAGATTCAGATTCTGCCTGCAGTACAGTTTATAATATGAGTTTTTCTACATTCTAAAAGTATTTCCGAGAAGAAATTCAAATTATATATCAAGAGACTGCCATAAAGATATGACAAGGCTGTATGTGGCTGACTATTCCTATGCTCTATACGGAGTACAAAGTTCAGAGTCTCCAATGGTTGTGCAATTCCATCACTATCATTCCAGCCCGCCTTCTTAATCCCACATCATAGCTAATATGACTGAAACCGGGTTCTTTCCCTCACCAGGCGAGCATATCATATGTTTTGATGATGGCGATGAGGTCGAGAAAGTGAAAGACGTATCTGTGTGTGAGATCTGGGGGGGGAGGCCTGGGGCCTAGCTATTTTCCCTGACAATCCTAAGGGTCGAGCAGATCTTTCCAAGCGGAAGCTCTAGCCCTGATGGTCACTTTCCTGCCTTATGCGACGATGTACCGCTCGCTCGCTGCAATTTCCAATCCCCCACTCATCTGTACACATTTTAATAATTATGTTACTTACGTGCCACATGATTCCTCTTATATATGTAGCTAGCTTGGGTTTTCTTCCCGTTTGAATATTAGTGAGCGAGTTAGGGTGTGCTCGAGGTCACAGTTGGAAGTTAGAGAGGAAGCGGGAGAATTGATAGATCCACGTGACCGGGCTTGGCCCCGACGTTTGTTGCGTCGACTTGGTTTGCGCTCCGCTCTTTTTTCTGAGTTGGTTAATATTGCGATATCTCAAAATCTTGTTTAGACAGTCTTTTAGTCTGTCCCGCCAGAACTATACCCGTCCCTCCAAGCGGTGTTTCCTGAAGAACCTGCACTCCGGCGCTCAAATCGTTACCCCTCCAATCCGCGGGCGGATCAATAGCTATGGGTCGCGAAGACCAGATTGAGGAGCGTGAAGTGCTCGATTCAATCTTCCCTGACGAAATTACCGGTAGGTAACAGATAAGGCCTCTAGGTGGCTCAAACTCCCGTTTTTTTCCCTTGCTCACAGCAAGACCTGGTATCTAGACATATCCGAAACCTCGTACCGAGTATCCATAACCCTCGATGCCCTCGAATATGAAGGCGATGAAACAGAACAACCTGTGATATGCCTGGAAGTCTCCTACCCGGAAGACTACCCCGATGTTGGCCCAAATCTCAGCATTTCCTCTCCACCCAATGCTTCGAAGCATGATCGGCTAGATATCCAGGAAGACCGCGATCTACTGATGGAGTCTCTTCAACCCACTATTGAAGAGAACCTGGGTATGCCGATGATATTCACATTGGTCAGTGCACTCAAGGAAAGCGCAGAGCAGCTTATGATCGAGCGAGCAGACGCCATTCAAGCTGAGAAGGACCAAGTCGCTGCGAAGAGAGAGGAGGAGGAGAATAGAAAATTCCATGGCACGCCAGTCACTGTCCAATCATTTTTGGAGTGGAGCGCCAAGTTTAAAAAGGAGCAGGAGGAAGAGGAGCTTCGGGTACGCGAAGAAAAGGAATTGGAGGACAAGAAAAAGAAGACCACGAAAGAGGAGAAAAAGCTCACAGGGCGACAATTGTGGGAGAGAGGCTTGGCCAAGGGCGATTATGATGAGGAAGACGATGATGCCTTGCCACCTATTGAAAAGCTCAAAGTGGCTGCATGAACTGATACATAGAAATGCTAATGACCTGCCATTACTTCATGGAATTATGTATTATAACGTTGAATTGGTGTGATTGTACTGAGCAGTCAGTGAACTTGTGTCAAGGGTAGGTGGGGTAGTATACAGGTTTGAAAGTCCACTATGGACTTAGGTTATTGTACAGGGAAAGATAATGCTCAATCAGTGGATAAAAAGGGCCCAAAAGAGACCCGTTGTCTCGCGTTGAGGTGTTTGCCGGGGCCGAGTGACTTCGAAATGCTAGCCGTCCATAGTGCCCATGGATCGGATATGATCAAGAAAGGACATACCTGCCCAAGTTGGCATAGATAATTTACCATGCCTTTTAGATGCTTCCAGCAACTGACCTTTGTCTTCTAATCTCGGGCGACATTGGCCATGGTAGGGCCATATACGTATGTGGCTCTGATGTGGCCGGATATGAAGCTAGGCTATAACGGCCATATGGCTTGACCAACATCCGTCTGTTTGAAGAGCGAGGGGATTGAATGCCAACGAGAAATTCGCGGCAAGGTGTATCACTCGGTTTCATTGCTTTGGCTGCTTTTGGCTAGCTTCTTCTTCCGCCAAAGCCCTTTCAGCTAGAATGATCTTCCACATGTTATCCGCCAGCTCTTTAGCACGCATGTCGAAGTGTCCAATTTTTGCATTAACATCGGCAATAGCATTTGCAGGATGCTCGGACCAAGTGGACGGCTCCTTGGTCTTGGTGATGTGATCCCATTCTTCTTCGTCCTTGGCGAAAAGTAGCTCTATTTTCAGCCTGTCTCGACGTTCAATCCAGTCCCAACGACACCCAAGTTTTTTTCGTATCACACCGCTGACATTTCTCGGCTGCGGCTTTTTATAGCGCAAGAACGGAAGTCCGCGTGCATTGACAAGTACAGGGACATTGCGCTTCTTGTCACCTAACGGCCGGGGTCGGTTGAGGACTGAGGTGGCATTGGGATGTCGCTGAGTTGTTTCCTCCTGTAAGCGAATTGAGTTTTCTTTTCGGGCTTTCTTGGGCGTAAGGGGTTTGGCAGGCGGCGCTATTGGCCGAATTTTCCTTTGCATCGCAGCATATTTATCTTTCTGTGCCCTAGCTTGAGCTACGAGAGTTCTAATCCGGTGTGCATCATGTTGATTGGTGTGGGACAAAGAGAGGAGATCTAGAGCCTGTCATATGGCAATAAAATATCAACATAAGCTCTCAGCCTTGACGAAGATTCGATGCGCATACCTCATAGCCTGCCTTCAAGGCATTTACTGTTTGTGATGGGCTTTGTAGTTTTTTATATTTTCGGAAATTTTGTTGAACAAGGGATTTAGTCTCACCCAGCCACGGAGTGTCTTTTGTTGAAGGACGGCATTGTCGGAGAAGTGCTCGATAAAGTGCTAAACCTATTGGAGGCAGATTGTCAGCTGGAAGGGCTGGAAACGTAGAGAGTAATCTCTTACAAGCAAAACGATGAGCTCCAGAATACTTGGGCACCAGTACTTTATGCATTCCGCCGTGTTGAATGGTTATATCAATGGTGAACCCAAAGCCAAACTATGTACCATATACCCATCTTATCTCGTTTCTACTATGTTGTATGTGTAGGGGTAGGCACCGCCGGTTTACCGCCTACTGTAAATGATGGGCTAGTCCAATCTGGTTAATGCATACGTTTGCCCTTAGGCACGTGACAGAAAACACTTATATATATCCCCCACGGCCCCCAGATTTCCTCCTCTTTTCTTTCTTCTTCAGCTCTCTTTGCCTATTGGCTTAGATCAAGTGTAGTATCTGTTCTTTTCAGTTTAATCTCTGAAAGTTTCCGTCCAGGAAACACTTTGATTATTCCTATTTTTGGACCCCGTGACTTGGCCCCTGTGCTTGCGCATGCCTTGTTGCACAGTGTCATTGGGCTCACACTACCCCCGATCGACGCGAACTCTTTTTTCATCAACAGTTCGGCTTGTTCGGGCCCTTGGAGAAGAAACGTCGCGTAGATATATTTTGCACTTGATACGGATTCTATGTTCCCTCTTGTTGTAACGTTGACATGTTGCCTCAGTGTGCAACTGTCTACGCCACGATATGTTGCGCTGTTTCCCTGCTTGCTTCATGGGCTCTTGGATGGCCTTAACCTGACTTTTTCCTAATGCCCTCGGTGGACTTGACTTCTCTCTAACCTCTTTCCTAAAAGCTGGTCCCCTTGATCTCTTTCCCTATCCCTACGTTTGTTCTACTATCCCACCACCCTCGGTTTGCTTCATGGCAGACAGTGAAAATTTGTACATGGAAATTCGGTCATTCGATAAGAGAATATCATTTGTTTTTGTTATTGGTAAACAGGCGCCTGCCGCAATGCCCAGTCCCACGAAACAAAACACTTTAGAGATGAACACCTATCGAGGGATGAAAATTGAAAGTTGGGGCCCAAAAGAGCCCCTGCCGTACTTTCATGCAGAGACTGTACACGCTCTAGGGTCATAAAAAAAGAGAAGAAGCCATAAAATTTAAATGAGACCGACCCTGATACTCCAAGGTCCGCCTGCACTGAGTGGGTCACATGTTGGACTAGAAAGTCGAGCCCTCTGGGGGCTGCGGCAGCTTCTTATGCTGCGGCAAGGCCATGTACCTAGACAAATTGTGTCAACATCGACCATTGATCTTGTGCAATTATTTGTGCTCACCTTCTCAGCTCAATCAAAACTGTCTCCATGGTGTTGTCTCGTTTCCACTGCGCAAGGGTCGGAAGCTTTGACGGGTCGACCTGTAGTATAATCACTCAGTAATGGCTTTGTATTTTGGTACCCACTCTCGACATACCTTCCCAGAGCTGGGGTCAACGCAAGGAATGTTGACTCGTGAGACGAATTGAATGGTAGGCGGGTTATCAGGGTAGTCAGGTCCGCAGTGAATGTTCACACTATATATCCGGTTTTCATGAACGCTCTGAAAGATGGCAGATTAGCGGTTGTTTCATGGTGGCGTGGAGTAGAGCCAGAAACTAACGTGAGGCGGACCAAGAATGGTTCCATTCCAGTTGCTCATCATCATATCCTCTCCATCAGCAAGTCCGTATGAGCAAGCATCTAAAGAATAAGAAAGATACGTCAGTGATATGAGATCGGAGATTGTCGGAGATCGTAGGAGTCAACCGTACCTGCACTCAGACCCTTCTCGCCCTTTTCGAGCTCCTCCAGGAGTCGAAAGTTTCTTGGAACTTTAGCAGCCATGTTGAGCACCGAGTAGTGGTTTCAGAGGCTGGAAATGTCACGACAAGTATGAACAGATACTAAAGAGGGATGTTGCGACAAGAGGGGCAATGCGCTAGGCGGTCAAGTTGGAGCATAATCACGTGCGATATGGCTTATCGATATATAGCTTGGCGCCTGTTGGAGATGCCACGCCTTGTTGATCCCATCGTGGAATCGTTGTAATAGGAGAATCGCAGCCATTGTTTGTTTTGCTGCTCACATGAACCTCATATCAAAGCTATAATTTTGCAACTTCTCTGGTGTGGGAACTGATCTATTCATCTGCGACCGAGAGATCCCTGTACCGTTGACATCGGGACCTCGGGCCTTAGCCAGTGCTGGCCATGCTCTGATACAACAAAGCAATATCAGAAATGTCCTCCCAATTCTTGCAGACGGAGATCGCCAATTTGATCCATGAGTCTCGAAGGAAAAACTCCGATTTGCGAAATGTTGGTTATCACTCTCTAGGCATCATCATTGGCCATCCATGGCACGCTAACGAGCAATCGATAGGCTGCCGAACAATCGTTGAATGAGCTTAAAGCACTACCCTCAACCTCAGAGGCTCAGATAGCAGCAGGTAAGCTGTTTTATGGCAACCTTTTATCAGTCTCCAGCCGCTAAACTGCCATTAGACCTTGTTCGTAAACCGAATTTCGTCGAGCCATTCATCATTGCATGCCATACTCGGCATGCGAAGCTTGCTGGTATTGGTGTGATCTGCTTACAGAGACTAATTGCATCTCGGTCGCTACCTTCCAGTCGTTTGAAAGATGTCCTCGGGGGCTTGAAGGAGACAACGAGCTTGAGTAAATGACCAAACAAACTAAACCTTTTAAATTCCGCTAACGATTTATAGGCCTTGATATCCAGCTGAAGATTTTACAATCTCTGCCTTCACTTTTGCAATTTTATTCCAATGAATTAAGCGGGGAGCTCCTTGCGAACACGTTGGAAATATGCGCCACGTTACAGGCAAGCAAAACGATTGCAGTCTCCAGTACTGCCGCAGCTACTCTCCAGCAGCTAGTGGTATCGACCTTTGAAAGAGTTTCAAGTGAAGACAATCTTCCAAACGATGTTAAGATTACTACAACGATCAAAATTGATGGTCAGTCGCTCGACATCGGCTACTTTGCCTACGATGCACTACGTGTATTGGATGATCTCTGTCGTCTGATCGATGGTGAGCCACTGCAATTTCTGCGAACACGAACCCTATCCGCGACTTTTGTGCTCGAACTTATCGAGAGTATTCTCCTGAACAGCGGCCGTCTTTTTGTGGGACATCCCGAACTTTCGCAAGTGCTGCGTGTTCGGTTATTACCACTAGCTGTCCGTTGTCTATCTGAGAGGTATTCATTCGCTCATACTGTTCGAGTTGCTCGAATTCTTCTCATTCTTTTGAAGCGTTATATGTCTCTCTTGACTGCAGAATGCGAAATGGCATTGAGTCTGATCACCCATCTTGTTGAACCGGATGGGACAGCACCTTGGAAGCGACTACTCTGCATGGAAGTCTTCCGAGGACTATACTCGGAGCCGGGTGCTGTGCGGCTGATCTACACTTTGTATGACGGCGAGGAAGGTAGAAAGAACATCCTTCGCGACCACATGGCTGCGCTTGTTCGTCTAGCTTCAGAGAAGCCTTCGTTGATCGGCGTCAGCAATCAATCAACAGTACCTTCACGCGGGGAGCACGCAAGATCCACCACAGAGGATCAAATAACTCTTGAGACTGGCGGCGTTGCTGGTGTTATTGGGTCAACTGTTCCTCCAAGTGAAACTAAGGTGCCTGGAATCAGCACTCAGTGGAGTGTTGTTCGTACGCCATACATCGATCTCCTCGACAAGACAGATCCACCCGCACCGCCGGACACTTACATTTATAGCCTTGTTCTGAATTGTATCAGCAGCTTTGCTGAAGGACTCGCGAAATTTATTCTACCATTGACGGTCCCAGATCTAAAGCAAAGACGCAAGAATCGACTTATGAGCCCCGCTCAGGGACCTGACTCTGCCAGATCTTCTCAAGATTTCACAGCAGAACCTATTCGAGCGCAGTCTAACCCGTCATCAAAAAAATCACATGTTCCAATCAATCCTCTAGACCTGCAGTCTCATATACAGTACTCCGCCATCAAGACCTGTGCGGGGATAATAGAGAACTGTTGGCCTGCTGTCCTGGCGGCTTGTTCCACCTTTTTACGTGCATCTTTAGATGACGAATATTACCACAATCTCGTTCGAGCGTTCCAAAAGTTAGCTCATGTGGCGGGTCTTCTGAGATTGGCTGTTCCCCGAGATGCTTTCTTAACAACTCTTGGAAAGGCTGCGACACCTACGAGCGCGGGAGGTGTCAAGTCGCACAATATGTCTGCCACTAGCTCCCAGCAAAGTGACACAATCCAAAAGAAACGAAGAAGCGCGGATCTGTCACTTTCTGGTTCTTTATCAATGGATTCTGCAGGAACAGCTGCGGGGGAAGGATCTCCCGTGTCTTTAAGCACAAGAAATCTACTTTGTATGCGGGCTTTGCTCAACCTCGGAATTGCTTTGGGGCCGACATTGGATCAGCCGGCCTGGTCCATTATCTTTGAAACACTTCAATATACTGGGCTGATGATTGGCATGTCCTCAAGCGCGATGGTCAAGTCAGCTGGTGGGACCGGGGAGGCTCCAGTCACCCCAGGAAATGATGTTCCAACTGCTAATCTCGGAACTGAGGTTATTGCGGTCCAGGCAGCTTCTAGCAAAATGCTCGAAAGCACCAGCGATTTCCCAAGTGCATCCTTTGAGGAAATATTGTTTGCCTTGTTGAATCTGTCAACATTTACGGAGCAGCGTCGCAGCCAGGGTGATGCCCAGGAAGTATCAGAAATTCCTCGGATGCTGCAATCCTCCCAAGAAAGTGGACGCTTACACCAAGGTTCCCGGCGCGTATCAAGTACTGTCGGAAAATCAAGGATGCAAGACGATGAACTCAAATTTGTACTGGAAAAAGGAAACGAACTAGCCAAAGCAAACCTTGAGAGACTGTCTTCGCTTGAAGAAGATGACAGCAAAGCATGGGAGCTACTGACGCAAAGTCTCATATCGGCTTCCGCAAATACTATCATCAGTCCTAATCTTCGCCTGCAGGCAAGCGCAATTTTGAATTCACTCGTATTCTCAACGATGAAACGAAGAGACGAAGACGATGAGAAAGTCTACAATCAATTGCAGACAAGGAATCTGCGAACATTGAAAGCCCAG